GAAACACACTCGTCACAAACTCGTCTATTCTTAGACCGTCCCTGCAGTTCACACAGATGAGCAAGAGTGTTTGAGCCGGTGGACCGAAGCCAGACATCTGACACAAACACTCACATCAGCGGGACAAATCACAACTGAAGGATACCGCCGACACACACACACACACACTCACATCAGCGGGACAAATCACAACTGAAGGACACCGCCGACACACACACACACACACACACACACACACTCACATCAGCGGGACAAATCACAACGGAAGGACACACTGGTCTCATGTAGATCTGCTCCATCAGTTTCCTCAACACACTTCTTCAATCCCAACACTTTCACTGGCTCGAGTTTCAGAACATATTACATGCTTTATATTATAAACTAGTCATGTCTGCCATGATGCTGCCGCGTTCAGTTGCTGTTGTGAGTGTTTGTCACATGCGTAATGTGTTCAAAAGTTGTCCAATGTCAGGTTTCATCTTCAAACCTTTAGTATTTTTGTGGAAAGATGCATTTCTGATCAAAAGAACAAGACTAAGAAAGATGTACAACATATTAAACAAACTGCATGTCTTTCCCTCACAGCCTCACTTTCATCCATGTCAGATTATAAATAATAACCCCTTATAAAGCCTAAAGGGAGTCATGTGAGCATCAGGACAGAGACGCTGGAGCCCACGGGACAGATGCTGGAAATGCTAATGTATTCCACTGGAGTCGAGTGGCAAATCACGCTTTCATAATCCTCAGCGCCAGCAGAGGAGAAGAGGACCTGATTGAGCACAGCACTGCCACATTATTCAACAGCCAAAATGGAGGACGCACTGAGGTCACTGTCACTCATCGTGTACGTGTGCACAAGTTCTGGTAAAATGCCAACATTAAAAAATGGATAATAATAATACAATTTTTCATAATTACAAATCTGAATCCAGTGCAAACTTAGAGATGAAATGCATGAAAAATACATGAAAAACCTTCAGCTAGATGACGTACAAAACAGCTTTTCTTAAATACTTTTTTAAAACGTATAGTAAACATTATTGTAATATTTCATATTTTGTATACTATTTGTATTTAGAGAAAATAATCCTAATATTAATAATAATTATTGCACAATTTGGTCCAAAATTCCATGATTAAATATAAATTTGACTATTATAATAATAATCAAGTTGATACATAATCACAACATTGTGCAATAATAATAATAATAATAACTATTATTATTTTCACTAAATAATTTTTTTATACAAAATAAGAAATATTAAAATTATAATATTTACTATAAATATATATAAAAAAATTTTTTAGGGCTGTCAAATGATTAATCGTGATTAATCACATCCAAAATAAAAGTTTTTTTACATAATATATGTGGGTGCATTGTGTATAATTATTTTATATATATAAATACACACACATGCTTGTATATATTTAAGAAATATTTTCATGTATATACTGTATATAGATTTATATATAATTTATATTATATATAAATATAAATATTATATATATATAAATTATATATTTTTCTTAAATATACATGCATGTGTGTGTATTTATATATATACAAAATAATTATACACAGTGCACCCACATATATTATGTAAAAAAAACTTTTATTTTGGATGTGATTAATCGTGATTAATCATTTGACAGCCCTAATTTTTTTTTTTTTTTTTTTTTTTTAAATAAAAGTAATAACAATTGCATTTTAAATTGCAATCACAATCAGATTCTCCCCCAGATTGAGCGGGCCTGAGATGAGATGACTAGGAGAAAAAGCCTTCAGAAAAACTTCCCAGAATCCCCTGAACTCTCGCAGGAGCGCCAGGAGCGCTGGATGAGACCTCGAGCATCACATGCACTTCATTCGAGCTGTTGTTGAGTGACTTTACAAGCGTTTCTGCCACTATATGTCCAATCTCACTCCATCCGATCTCATGATCCTCGTCGACGCAGAACACCGTCACACACACACCTTCAAAAGAGGAAGTGACCGAGGTTTCAAAATACTTTCAAAATTAGAAATAACTGCAGCTTCTGTTAAAGCTTCTGATCATCAAGAGATGGAAGAAACGAGAAAGATGTCGATTATCCCATCAGAACAACCTGGATGTGCTTATAATGTTGCCCAGCTAGCGGTTCACTAGGTTTGGAACACAGCTAATATGTGTGTGTGTGCCAGCAGATCCTCCGTCCTGGCTTTAACATTAACTTAATGAGATAAAAAGGAGAAAAATCAATCATCTTCTTAAACGGATTAGCTGGAACACATTAGCACAAGCACAACTCAAATATTTGCCCTAAAGTACATGTTTACTCAGAGCTGAACACTCACAATGCTCTTTTACCTCTGTTATTGACACATTTCACAACTAAACCAGTGCTAAACTCGAGTGCTAACTAATCCTCCAACACAACAGGCCAGAAACACCGTGTCTACTCGCGTTTACGAGAGCACAAGGTAAACATGTTCAATATCAGCATGTGGAAACTCGCGTGACGGGATTTTATGACCGTAATGAACTCTATAGATAAACAATCTTCTTATTATGAGTTTCTTATCATGGTAAATCACAGCTAGTGTAAAGTTTCCATGATGTGAATGTGACTAACCTGACTTGAGGAACAGCTGAGGTCACATGACCTGACAAGAATGACAACACTGCTATTGGTAAGAGGAAACAGCAACAATATTCCTCTCAGGCCACATTTACACATAGCCGGGTATTCAGAGAAACGGATATTCCCCCCCTCCGTTTTCAATAATAACATCGTGCACACAACATCGTTTTCAAAAAAGTTAGCATTTTCTTGCGCATAATGTGACGTTTGAGGACCCGTTTCTCCCAGTCGACACGGCAACACATAACCGGCGTTATCAGAAATCTCCACTTTGGCCAGAGTTTTTAGAAATAATCATTTACTGTGATAAAAACGGGGTTTTCGTGTAAATGAGAGGCCAAACCACAGGGAAATATCTGCGTCTTCCCTTCGTGTAAACGGGGCATAATTTACTCGTTTATTTAAGGCAACTAGCAACCACATATAACACTCTGGGTCTCTATAATCTAATTATAATACTGATTTAATGCTGTGTAGAGCTAAATATAGGGATTTCAACATGGAAAGACTAGCCAAAAGAATGAGTGCGGATAATCCACTCTGTTGATGCTTCCCGTCTGAGGTTATTTTGGGGTCATGGTCCTCAGAGATGAATAATTCCTCAGGTTATTTCTGACTGTTATTGGACACCTGCAAACGTCTCTACTGACTCCAGAAGCAACACACACACACACACACACACACACGCCTGAGATGCTCTGAAGATACGAAAGCACTCGCGTTGACCTCTGGAAGATCTCGGTCTCAGTCATGAACACATGAAGCACTTCCTCAGAGGACAATATTAATGCTCAGATCCTCAAATCATTATCAACAAGTCTCAGATGCTTCTCCTAAAGTGTCTTTGGAGAATGAAACACAACTGAGTCACTCGTCGTCGTCCAGTGAGTGTATAGAGATATGAACTGAATGTGAAGAGGCTCAGATCATTTGATGTGAAATGTTTGACTTCATATCTCTGACATTGCTGAAACTCTTCTCAGTCTTTTTATTCAGAGAAATTTGCTACCATTTCTTTTCACTGCGATCTAGATACTAAAGAGATGTTTTTTAATACGTCCATTTGCAAAAGAGTCCATAAAATGATGATGAACCCATGAAAACAAACTTCCTAAAGGTCTTTTTGCACTGAATGTTAGTATCGTGAACTGCTTCAGACTTTGTAATAAAGCGATGGTTCAGGCTTTGTGTGAATAAAACTTTTGGATATGAAAATGGCCAATTTAGTCGGCTGCACAAACACTGTTTCTCAGTGGAGCGTTACTGACCGGAAAACACAACTCTGATGTAATGGTTGGTGATGCAAGTCCGTTTTCTGTTTTCTGAAGGAGTCATATATTAAAGCCACACCTAAGCTGACAGAAACATGATCTGACACGCGCTCTCCTTCATGAGAAGCATCAGAGGAACATTGAGCAATTCCTCCACATGAAGTGTATTAGATACAGTGGTGTGAAGATTACAGGAAAACATCAGGAAAACATCTATGCAATCTAAAGGGAGGCTTGTTTCCACCACAGAATAAAACGATTACTGCATCTTTTATTTCACAATTCAAACTTCTTTCACACAATTGCGAATTTATATCTTGCAATTTTTACATTTCTATGAATTCAGGGGTTACATCTCGAAATGTTTGGCGCAATTTTGACGTTTGGCGCAATTTTGACGTTTCTCTGAATTCTTTACATATCAAGGGTAGCATCAGTTCTGTCAGGGACAGGGTCACGTCAGTCGAGCTCTCATCAGTGACTCTCAGCTGATCCACGTCTACTATAGGAATACAACGCCTATCACCGTATTCATGTGTAACTCCTTCAGTATTAATAGCAGTGATTGTGTTTCTCAGGAGTGATTACCCTCCTCCCTCCACAGCTCCTCCTCTCGACAGTCAGGATTTGGCATCTGATTCCCCTTGAATCAGAATAAATTCTTGAATTATGTTGTACTTTAAAATCTTGAATTAATGATATCTAATGGGGGGGGGGGGGGGGGGGGGGGGGGGGGGTATTGCTGCTCGCCCAGAACAGAATATCGCTAATCCTAACTGTATGCAATTGCCAATCGTATTTGACTAGAGTGGTCCTGACAGAACTTGCAGTTTTGACATGTTTCTCAGAAATCTTTCACGTTTCTCGGAATTCTGGGTTTACATCTCGCAATCTTGACATGTATGTTTCTCGGAATTCTGACATGCTTCTCGGAATTCTAAGTGTACATCTCACAATTTTTGACATGTTTCTCGGAATTTTGACACGTTTCTCAGAATGAAATTAAATGAATGCATACATTTTTTCTAAGAATTGCAAGATTTTTTTTTTTTTTTAGACAAAACAAGCTTCCATCATCTTTGATGTCATGACCCTCACCTAGTGTCTTGACGGCGATCTGTCTCGTGAGCGGTGGCGGAAGGTTAATGCACACCAGGTCCACATCCGGATGCAGAAGCACGTCATCGATCCGGTTAGTGTAGAAGGGCACGTCCATGTCGCGCGCGAGCTCCTCCGCCTCCTCCTGCGTGCGACCCCACAGCGCCTTCACCGAGAAGCCCTCGTTCTTCAGCAGAGGGATGATGACCCGGGCCGTCAGACTGGTGCCGAACACACCCACCCCGGGCAACATGACGGCTGAGTGAGTGATGCTCACACACCTGAGGCGGGAGACCCGGCGGGTGCAGGTTCGAGCCTGAGTAAAGTGCATCCATCAACTATGACCATTGCGCCTTCGGGTTCCTCCTCCCTGTCTTCAATCTACTGTAAACTAGAGTAATCAATAACTATTCATTCAAATGAAAAAGGTGAGATGGATTCATCTTCCTCAAAATCATCATCCTCCTCCTCCTGCACACTGAGACCCGCGTCTGCGCATTGGTAAACGCTCCCTAGTCTGAATATCTACGCGATGATGATATAATATTATATTCACAAATGGATTTGTATCCGCTTAGGTATCTGCGCGACGCGTCGCGTTCACTCTGTATCATCCAAAAAGACGCGAACGCATCACTGCCGAGGTCGCGTCACGATCCCGTAGCGATGCAAATTAAATCCAAATAATATTTGTAAAATGTGTCTCCGAGAAGCGTTGTAGCGTCTCCGCACCTCTCGCTATCAATATTGCGATCATCTGCTCCACTGCGGGCGCGTTAACTCCCCGTTAACCCCTTCACCGCCGGAGAGACTACACCGATCCTACTATGGCGAAGGCGTGGCGCGTGAATATTAATTACGCAGCGTGACGTTAGATAAAGAGGGCGTTCTGATTGGCTGATACGCAGGTGGGCGCTGGGTTAGCTGGCGAATCCTACGGCGGTGAAGGCGTGGTTTATGAATATTAATAATGTTGCGTAATAGGACGCTGAGAGGGTTACCAAGCAACGTCAGCATGCTTAAAGGGTTAGTTCATCCAAAAATTTAAATTTTGTCATCATTAAGGCACCCTCATGTTTTTCCTAACCTTTATGAGTTTCTTTCTTCTGTTGAACACAAAAGAAGATATTTTGGAAGAATGTTGGTAACCAGACAGTTGATGGTACCCATTGACTTCCATAGTATTTTTATTCCTACTATGAAATTCTACTGTCTGATTACCAACATTTTTCAAAATATCTTCTTTTGTGTTTAACAGAAGAAATAATCTTATACAGCATTGGAACAACATGAGGGTGAGAAAATGATGACAGAATTAACATTTTTAGGTGAACTATCCCTTTAAATGCTTAATATTCATAAGCAAAGCTGTGTAATTATGCATACAGCTCATTTGATCACAGCGGGAGACAGTGACTGCAGTGAACGGAAACACAATAACCCAGCGAGAAGATGACAAATGAATCACTGTTAGTTTAAAAATCATTTAATAAATGGCATAGAAGACAATAAGGGGAGACCCAGGAGTGAGAAGGGTTAAATTGCTTAAGAATAAAATATCACAAGCACTAACATTGCACCATTGCAATCATCACTGCATCATTGTTTCCAAAGGAAGCTCAAACCTGCCCGTCATCATGATGTGTTCATCTGGTGTGAGCATGAGTCAATATTCAGATGGAAAGTACAGTAGCAGTGAGTCAATAACTGCATTGTTTCTGCATGTTCATAAACTTGCTTATGGCAGAATGGAGGAGGATGATGATGATTGACACTATACTCTGACCTACGACCTTTCTGATCACCTCATCAGAAGAGTTCAAACAGAATTTGAGTTCTAAAATATGTTCTATTCTTACTGAAAATTGTTGCATTACTTGAAAGAATAAAAATACGTAGTAAAAAGTGAGGAAACGGTTTAGATTATGCAGTATTACCGTAGACTGTGTGTGCTCTTCTGATTATGAGTCTGTGATGATGATTTAATCAGACATTTCATTAGTTAACATTAGTTAACTACCTTAGTTAACATGAATAAACATACTTCTACAGCTTTATTAATCTTAGTTAATATTAATTTCAACATTTACTAATACATTATTAAAATGTATTTGTTAACGTTAGTAATGCAATGTGAACTAACGTGAACAAACAGCTGGATTTTTATTAACTAACATTAACAAAGATTAATAAACACTGTACTAAATGTATTGCTAAATGTTAGTTCATGTTAGTAAATACATTATCTAATGTTATCTAATGAACCTTACTGTAAAGTGTTATCAACATAATATATTAACCAAGGAGAGTTGCTGTGTTATTCTGTACACCAGAGTGATCATATTCCTCCCAGATTACAGTGTGTTTCTACTTTCTACTGATAACTCAGAATATTAAGGTGGACATTATTAAGGTGGACATTACCTTTAGAAAAAGATCACAATAAAAAAAAATTGGTAACAGTGTCTTTTTTCAACATGTTACATGTAGTTACTAGAGTAATTACCATAAATTGTGACCCTGGATCACAAAACCAGTCACATGTCTCACGGGTTTATGTGTGGTTGGCAATAGCCAACAACACATATGGGTAAAAATTATCGATTTTTCTTTTATGCCAAAAATCATTAGGATATTAAGTAAAGATCATATTCCATGAAGATATTTTATAAATTTCCTACTGTAAATATATAAAACATTTATTTTTGTGAGTGAATGCAGCAAAATCACAAACATAAATGCACAACTTTAAAAGAGATTTTCTCAATGTTTTGATTTTTTTGCACCCTCCGATTCCAGATTTTCTAATAGTCATATCTCGGCCAAATATTGTCCTATCATAACAAACCATACATCAATGGAACGCTTATTTATTCAGCTTTAAAAAATGATCTAGTGATTGTTTTGTGGTCCAGGGTCACAATTGTGCTTGATACATGCAACTACCCTAAACCACACCCGAATCATAACCATAACCCTGTAGTTAATTATTATTACTCAGTACTTATAATTACACGATAACAAGGACACCTTAAAATAAAGTGTAACCAAGAATTCTAATAGAATAATAATTTGGAATTAATCCTGTTAGAATTAAACAACTATTCTCTGAGAATAAGATGGTTTGCTTGCGAGTGAAGAGCATGTTTCACATCGTTTATTCATGTGTCCTGAAACCGAATAATTCGAAGAGCAAATATTGATTCGGCTGATGCTCTTGACCTCGGACCAGCAAAGGTCAATCAATGCGTTTGAATAGAGAATAACTGTTCATTTACTGAATCAAAACACTGAAGCCACTCTCATATCGGTTTATCAGGCAATGCTTTAAAGCGCCACCTGGTGTTGGATACATGCAAACCACTATTTTCATATATTCTCATATATACATATTTGAAAACTGTATATTTTAAGAGCTGCTCTATTTCTAAATCAGTGTTTTTCTGTTGTGTTACGTGATTGGTGGATGCTGTACCATCTGACTTGCTTGGTTATTTGAACATTTGAATGTTGTCTTGTATTTAAATGAGTTGCTGTACACCTGCAGTCGCTCAGCCGTGATGATGAAGGCCTGAGCTCAAACTGCTCAAATAAACTATTATTTCTGCCACTCGGATTATTTTGACCTCTTCACAAGCGTTGCTGGTTTTGTTCAAATACATCACCGGTTTTCCTTTATTAGTTCATTTTTAATGATCCTGTGATGTATAGTCTTTCAATTAATTTGAGCTCATTTCATGTATAACAGAATTTAAAAAAGGGTTAAAAAAATTAAAAAACACTTTACAATAAGGTTCATTAGTTAAGATTAGTTTACTACATTAGTTAACATGAACCAATAATGAACTGCACTTTTACAGCATTTATTAATCTTTGTTAATTTCAACATTTACTAATACTTTATTAAAACCGTGTTAACATTAGTTAATGCACTGTGAACTGACATGAACAAACAATGAACAGCTGTCTTTTTATTAACATGTGTATGTTAATACATTAAACAATATGTTAGTTAATACATTAACTAATGAACCTTATTGTAAAATGTTACCAAAACATGTTTTAGAGGAGGTTTAGCATGTCAGTGCGTGACATTTCTAATCTATTACATCATTCCTGGATCCACTTCCTGTTCCTGTGCATCTAGAAGTGAAAGAAATCACATCCTAATAATGAAGTGTAGCACTTTTATTTAAATTACTCAGAGGCACGAATTTCACTTAAAGGGTCCTTCACTACACACTCATGAGTAACGTCCTACCAGTGTGTGTGGCGGTCGAGTAACGTCCTACCAGAGTGTGTGACGGTCGAGTAATGTCCTACCAGAGTGTGTGACGGTCGAGTAACGTCTTACAGTGTGTGTGGCGGTCGAGTAACGTCCTACCAGAGTGTGTGGCGGTCGAGTAACGTCCTACCAGAGTGTGTGGCGGTCGAGTAACGTCCTACCAGAGTGTGTGACGGTCGAGTAACGTCCTACCAGAGTGTGTGACGGTCGAGTAACGTCCTACCAGAGTGTGTGGCGGTCGAGTAACGTCCTACCAGAGTGTGTGGCGGTCGAGTAACGTCCTACCAGAGTGTGTGGCGGTCGAGTAACGTCCTACCAGAGTGTGTGACGGTCGAGTAACGTCCTACCAGAGTGTGTGACGGTCGAGTAACGTCTTACAGTGTGTGTGGCGGTCGAGTAACGTCCTACCAGAGTGTGTGGCGGTCGAGTAACGTCCTACCAGAGTGTGTGGCGGTCGAGTAACGTCCTACCAGAGTGTGTGGCGGTCGAGTAACGTCTTACAGTGTGTGTGGCGGTCGAGTAACGTCCTACCAGAGTGTGTGACGGTCGAGTAACGTCCTACCAGAGTGTGTGGCGGTCGAGTAACGTCCTACCAGAGTGTGTGACGGTCGAGTAACGTCCTACCAGTGTGTGTGGCGGTCGAGTAACGTCCTACAGAGTGTGTGACGGTCGAGTAACGTCCTACCAGAGTGTGTGGCGGTCGAGTAACGTCCTACCAGAGTGTGTGACGGTCGAGTAACGTCCTACCAGAGTGTGTGACGGTCGAGTAACGTCCTACCAGAGTGTGTGACGGTCGAGTAACGTCCAACCAGAGTGTGTGACGGTCGAGTAACGTCCTACCAGTGTGTGTGGCGGTCGAGTAACGTCCTACCAGAGTGTGTGACGGTCGAGTAACGTCCTACCAGAGTGTGTGACGGTCGAGTAACGTCCTACCAGAGTGTGTGACGGTCGAGTAACGTCCTACCAGAGTGTGTGACGGTCGAGTAACGTCCTACAGAGTGTGTGACGGTCGAGTAACGTCCTACCAGAGTGTGTGGCGGTCGAGTAACGTCCTACCATAGTGTGTGACGGTCGAGTAACGTCCTACCAGAGTGTGTGACGGTCGAGTAACGTCCTACCAGAGTGTGTGACGGTCGAGTAACGTCCAACCAGAGTGTGTGACGGTCGAGTAACGTCCTACCAGTGTGTGTGGCGGTCGAGTAACGTCCTACCAGAGTGTGTGACGGTCGAGTAACGTCCTACCAGAGTGTGTGACGGTCGAGTAACGTCCTACCAGAGTGTGTGACGGTCGAGTGACGTCCTACCAGAGTGTGTGACGGTCGAGTGACGTCCTACCAGAGTGTGTGACGGTCGAGTGACGTCCTACCAGAGTGTGTGACGGTCGAGTGACGTCCTACCAGAGTGTGTGACGGTCGAGTGACGTCCTACCAGAGTGTGTGACGGTCGAGTGACGTCCTACCAGTGTGTGTGACGGTCGAGTAACGTCCTACCAGAGTGTGTGACGGGCGAGTAACGTCCTACCAGAGTGTGTGACGGTCGAGTAACGTCCTACCAGAGTGTGTGACGGTCGAGTAATGTCCTACCAGAGTGTGTGACGGTCGAGTAACGTCCTACCAGAGTGTGTGACGGTCGAGTAACGTCCTACCAGAGTGTGTGACGGTCGAGTAACGTCCTACCAGAGTGTGTGACGGTCGAGTAACGTCCTACCAGAGTGTGTGACGGTCGAGTAACGTCCTACCAGTGTGTGTGACGGTCGAGTAACGTCCTACCAGAGTGTGTGACGGTCGAGTAACGTCCTACAGAGTGTGTGACGGTCGAGTTACGTCCTACCAGAGTGTGTGACGGTCGAGTAACGTCCTACCAGAGTGTGTGACGGTCGAGTAACGTCCTACCAGAGTGTGTGACGGTCGAGTAACGTCCTACCAGAGTGTGTGACGGTCGAGTAACGTCCTACCAGAGTGTGTGACGGTCGAGTAACGTCCTACCAGAGTGTGTGACGGTCGAGTAACGTCCTACCAGTGTGTGTGACGGTCGAGTAACGTCCTACCAGAGTGTGTGACGGTCGAGTAACGTCCTACAGAGTGTGTGACGGTCGAGTTACGTCCTACCAGAGTGTGTGACGGTCGAGTAACGTCCTACCAGTGTGTGTGACGGTCGAGTAACGTCCTACCAGAGTGTGTGACGGTCGAGTAACGTCCTACAGAGTGTGTGACGGTCGAGTTACGTCCTACCAGAGTGTGTGACGGTCGAGTAACGTCCTACCAGAGTGTGTGACGGTCGAGTAACGTCCTACCAGTGTGTGTGACGGTCGAGTAACGTCCTACCAGAGTGTGTGACGGTCGAGTAACGTCCTACCAGAGTGTGTGACGGTCGAGTAACGTCCTACCAGAGTGTGTGACGGTCGAGTAACGTCCTACCAGAGTGTGTGACGGTCGAGTAACGTCCTACCAGTGTGTGTGACGGTCGAGTAACGTCCTACCAGAGTGTGTGACGGTCGAGTAACGTCCTACCAGAGTGTGTGACGGTCGAGTAACGTCCTACCAGAGTGTGTGACGGTCGAGTAACGTCCTACCAGAGTGTGTGACTGGCTCGAGTAACGTCCTGCCAGAGTGTGCGACGGGCGAGTAACGTCCTACCAGAGTGTGTGACGATCGAGTAACGTCCTACCAGAGTGTGCGACGGGGGAGTAACGTCCTACCAGAGTGTGTGACGGGCGAGTAACGTCCTACCAGAGTGTGTGACGATCGAGTAACGTCCTACCAGAGTGTGCGACGGTCGAGTAACGTCCTACCAGAGTGTGTGACGGTCGAGTAACGTCCTACCAGAGTGTGCGACGGGCGAGTAACGTCCTACCAGAGTGTGTGACGGTCGAGTAACGTCCTACCAGAGTGTGTGACGGTCGAGTAACGTCCTACCAGAGTGTGCGACGGGCGAGTAACGTCCTACCAGAGTGTGTGACGATCGAGTAACGTCCTACCAGAGTGTGTGACTATCGAGTAATGTCCTACCAGAGTGTGTGACTATCGAGTAATGTCCTACCAGTGTGTGTGGCGGTCGAGTAACGTCCTACCAGAGTGTGTGGCGGTCGAGTAACGTCCTACCAGAGTGTGTGACTGTCGAGTAATGTCCTACCAGAGTGTGTGACGGTCGAGTAACGTCCTACCAGAGTGTGTGATGGTCGAGTAACGTCCTACCAGAGTGTGCGACGGTCGAGTAATGTCCTACGGTCCACGGCCTCAGATCAACAGCTGCTCGCACAGCTCCACAGATCTCAGATCAGTTCATAACCTTCAGCAAACAGCACTGACTGAGCACCAAACCTGACCTGAGATCAGTGGAGATCATGGAGAAAACACTCACCTCACACACACACAACACGGGATCTAAAATGACAGATGATTCTTACTAAAACACAAGCATGGCCATGGTACAGCACTGTTGTAACCGTCACACACACACACACACACACACACACACACACACTGAGAACACATGGAGAGATCCACACAGAAGAAGCCTTTCACATGTTCACTGCTGATTCTGGAGAAAAACATGGATTTAAACATGTAAAAAATATGTTGTAAAATGTGTTAAACTCGGCTGAAAGTACTCTAAAGTCTGATACCACACTGAAAATATGCCATTTTATAAATCAAATGTAAACATGGATATAAACAATGTTTTAAACAATGTTGTGATGTAAACTACAATATATAAAAAATTATATAAATAATATATATATATATATTTATATATATATATATACGTATATATATATATATAAAATGTATATATATATATATTTATAAAAATAAATACAATTATATATAAAATGTTTATATATAACATATGTATATAGAATTTATTATATAGTATATGTTATATATTTATAAAAATAAATACAATTATATATAAAATGTTTATATATAACATATGTATATAGAATTTATTATATAGTAAATGTATATAAAATTCTATATACATATAATTTTATTAAATTCTATTTTCACTCAAAGCATAATGCTGATAATATCATTTGTAATGGAAAAATGTATTAAATGCAAAACAGCTGTATTGTCACCAGTGATCTCAGAGTTTTGGAATATATAAAATATTACAATAAATTCTAAATTATATGTAAATCCACAGTTTCCGAGTGGGTCTGTTTATGATTAAACAAACTACATGAGAAACTCCCAGTTTTGTTTTAAAGGGCGTTTCAACCAGTCATCATCCTCATCATCTTCACCATCATCATCATCATCCTCACCATCATCATCCTCATCATCATCATCTGCTTTTCAGCTGTTGTTTTATTTTGGTTTTTACATTTTGATCTACACATCTCTCAGTGAGGTTATTTGTGAGATGACACGAAAACCTTAGTGTATCTTTGGTGTCTGAAAGGACAGAAAAGAAAACATGTAACTGTACATTTGTATGAATCAGTTCAATAACTCCAGGTCCTTTTGATGGGGGAAAAAAGCCTCACAATTTCCAGTTTACAAAGAACTCGGATGGAAAACTATGGCATGTTGAATGAGTAAAAGAAATGACCACATAAAATAAACACAATTTAAAAAGCAATTTTAAACAATATCCCGTCCTAAAATTCACAATTTCTCCTAAAGGGAAACACATTGACCACGGCGGAGCAGTGCAGAAACTACATCCTCAGATAACACGAGAGACATGATCTAACCACATCATCTGCCTCCTCTAGAACACAACACACTGTAGAAAAGTACAGTAATGATGTCCTGGCAGCAAACACTGCAGCGCTGACAGGGTCTGAGAGAAACGCTGAGGATACGAACACTCATGATGGACACATCAGCACACAGTGTTTCACCTGATGCAGTTTCTTAGCAGATATTTTTGGCACACAAAAACATAACTCTGAATCATCAGATCGAGAGGACACACCATCTACACTAGCGTTCCAAAGTTTGGGGTGGCTAAGATTTTTAATATTTTTGAAAGAAGTCTCTTCCGCTCAGCAAAGCTGCATTTATTTCATAAAAATACTGTAAAAATAGTGAAATATTATTACAATGTAAATCAGCTGTTTTCTATGTGAATATATAGTAAAGTGTAATTTATTCCTGTGATCAAAGCTGAATTTTCAGCATCATTACTCCAGTCTTCAGTGTCACATGATCCTTCAGAAATCACTCTGATATGATTTGAAACATTTATGATTATCATCAGTGTAACAGTATCAGTTTAAAACAGTTGAAATACAATCTTTTGACATTAAAACATTCAAAATGTTTTTACTGTCACTTTCGATTTAGTGTATCTTTGCAATTAAAGTATTAATAAGCATCAACCCCAAACTTTCGAACAGAAGTGTATGTTACATCATGTGACACCGTGTCCGAACCAAGTTCAACAAAATCACAGCCAATCAGGACACATATGCTGTTTAATATGCAGTGATTCTGGACCAATGAGGCGCATCACGCCTGGTAAGAACACAGTGTATAAGAACAAAAAGAACAGGACAAATAAAATGTTGTAAATCTTGGTAAAACTGCTCTGAGATTTGTCCGAGTCTAAACACAATAGTTCCTAAACCTTGTAAAGGTGAAGTGTGTAACTTCTAAAAAAAAAAGAAAAAAAAAGAAAAGACAAATGTCAAATACTCCTCACATCTGCTATTGGTCAAAAACAGATAGCCCCGCCCCCAATGCCACTCCATTGGTCGAGCCAATATCTCTATGTCCAGCTCATTCGTGTCACTCAAACAGACTGCAATTTCCCACAGACATAACACACTTCAGCGTCAAGCCTGTGGCTAAAGAGAATACAGTAGATTGCTATAGGTTTTGTTAAATTGGTTTGTCTACGCTCAACATACTTCATGAACGTCAAGACAGACACTTTAAATTTAGTTCCAGCTTATGAGAAAACATGTTTATTGCTGAGAGATAAAAATGTTGCAGTGCTGTTGTGCTGGACGGGTCAGCTGTGCCTTTTGCTTTTATCATACAATAATAAAAAAAAAAAAACTAAAAAGTGCAAATACAGCTGAAATCATCCCGATAAAACTGCTTTCAGAGATTCATGCCAAAATGGAACCAAAACCAAAACCTCAGTACTCAATAATAAGAGCAGCGCCGGTCAAACGTTATGGCTGTTCTCCTTCAGCGCTGTTCGCATTAAACATTTCAACATTTATAATACAGAACCCTTGGTCAGTGGATGTCGCGTTCGGACAGTGATGCCTTGATAAAAAATAAAAAAAAGTTATTGCACATTCCATATCATGAAGTCAGTAACGTCATCTGACACATTCAGCATCTGCGCTCTGCATCGCTATCGACTGCGAGAAAACTAGCCGGTGTGTGAAACTCAAACATTCCCTTGATATCAGAAAGCCATCGTGGATATGGAAAACCGCACCGCAGCCTGGCTCTCTGAACACAGATGTTATTTTGGGTATCAAGCGACAATTTGAATCGAAGCTAGTGTCCGCAAATGAAAAAAAAGCAATGCAGGTTCACGATGGAGACGTGCAGATGGACTTTATGAATGAATCGATATTAAACAGGCATTACCAAACGCTCCTACTTGTGAAACTAAAACCATCGGATCATTCGCACGCACTTGGAAACCCAGACCATGAGAACCACTGCCACAGGCAAATGATGCACAATACACAGACATAAAACTACCATAGTACGAACAAATAAAAGAGAACGAGGAAACAGTCAATGAGCATAAATTAAAGTGTCGTTATGGATCGTCTCTCCGCTTTCATATGTGCTTCACGTTGAGTCTCTTCTTCAGGAGATCATAAATGTCTCGGTCTCCTGATAAACGCAGCTGGACGTGATGCGGATAGAAAACCACTGGGTCTTCATGACGCCCCGCTCTGCTCTGGGAAAAAATAATAAACAGAATTCCTGCCGGTGGAGCCACGATCCACTTTATGAATATATGGTGATGACCTCTCGGCCACCGCCGCGCACCAACAGGACCCGGTTGAGACCCTCCATCATAACCTCCATAAACTCCATGTCTGAGGCGCGTTGGTCAAGGACAAACACGCATGTTTTCCATGCTAATACTCCAAATAAAGCTTCTGGAAGACGTCTGTGTATAATAATAAGAGAGATTTTTTAGTATTAGTGATTTAAATAAAGCATTAATCTTCTCAAGGTCGTGCATTACCGTGATTTTACCACAGTAAACGGGTGACATGAAGATTAATGACTAGAATCTTACTAGAGTAGAGTCTTAAGAGGCTTATTGTTTTTATAAAACTGCAATGTTCAATAAATACTTACATTTTGGATAATAATAAATCAATATGAGCTACAATAAAATAAATAACCCTTTCTCCAGATACAGTAATATAGTTCATTTGAGGTTGGCATAATCACATAGAATTTAAAGAACTATAATAGAACTATTTCTATAAACTGCATTAAAAATATCACTGCATTTTAAAACTTTAAATCTTATATATAGAGTAAATATAACAAATAATTGAAAAAAATTAAAAACATAATATTAATAAATGGAAATAAAAAAAAATCTAAATCAGTGTTTTAGTATAATTTATATACTATAATATTTATTAATATTTGGAATTAGCTTTTAATTTTAGTCAAATTTTTAGTAATTTTGCTATGTGCTTTTGTAATTTTTATTCTTTTAAATCTAATTTTATTTTAGTTTTAGTTCTTATTTCCAGTTAGTAATTTTAGTGCTTTAGTTCAATGCAACATTTAAAATTTTCGTTTAGTTTTCCATTTAATTGAATTACATCATTATTATTTTACTCACTGTTCGTTTTCTTTGTTCCGTTGAACACAAAAGAAGATATTTTGCAGAATCCGTTTCCAGCAACTTGCGAGTGAGTAAATGATGACAGAATATTTATTTTTGGGTGAACTATACCTTTAACAAAACAAATTCTGTTTCAATTTTTGATCTGATTGTGTAAATGTGAGTTTTGAGGTGTAGTTTGTATGAGGATACAGTTTTCATCGCCGCCGCGGTTCCTCGGTGGGCCAGGCATGTTGAGGAGCACCAGATGTGCACCCTGAGACTTGTTGACCACCACCTCATTCAGTTTGACCGCTGTGTGCATGCAGCGCACGTTCGACTGGTTCCTGTTTCACAGAGTCATGTGACGAGGGACAAAAACATACAAGTCAGACCGTGTGACTCAATCATATTAATACAGATTCAAACTCATGCCAACATCCAAGTACAGGGACAAAAAAAGCGAACATGTATTCATGTTCAGTCTACATTTAGTATAATTGACTAATTCATTGATTACAGTGACATCTGGAGTCAAATGCATATTTCTCTATTATCATAGAGCGATATTTGATCCTGATTGGTCAATGTTATCATAATATTTGTTTAAGCTAAACTGTATGACAGAGATAATTGTTTCAAACAGCTGTGCAATGTGTGCTATGAAAGCTCTGCAAAGCTCTTGAATATGGCATGATAAATACATATGCACTGTAATTCAAGCATCATTTATATTAGTGATATAATAAAGGCCGTTTGAGGTTAGTGTGCACAATATCAAGATTTGACATGCACAGCATATGCACATGCCTTTAATAAAGCATGAATTATGAAATCACAAATACAGTTGAAAAACTTGTGCTCCTCAGCGCCACCTTGTGCCCGTATGAACTGCTTTAATTACATTTCACTGTATATAAAAATATAAATAAAGCAAACTATTAACTGCAGCAAATACCACAATGAATATACAATAAATAATTATTTTTCCCTGTATATAAAAATATTAATAATGATGTCACTCTATTAACTGTAGTAAATATACCACAATAAACACTAAATAAATAAATAAATAAATAAAAGTTTTACTGTATATAAAATACAATAATTATTCTTATTACTTGCATTATTATTATTATTATTTGCATTATTTATATTTTAGTATTATAAATAAATATTGAATGTAAATAAAAGAGTATCTGAGGCACAACAGGTGATTATGAAGCACAAGTTTTCTTGTAGAGATCCATCATGCTGCACACATGAGCTTCTGCACGTCTCAGGACAGAGGGAATGCTGGGATGGAAACGCACATACACATGCCGAAGCGCACACACACACACACACACACGTATATGCTGGAATAATGCAGCGTGCTGCAGGGTTTGAGACGGGACAGCTCATAGACATGAAGACAGACACAGCTACAGTACAGAGAAATGTGACTTACAGACTCTCCCATTCGCTAGAAAGAGGAAAACAGGACAGAACAACAGAGACAGGCTTAGACGCGTCACCCACACTCAGATCTACACCAGCACTGACTGACACACTCTTCACATTACACTTCTCCCTCTACTGTGCTCGTGTGTTTATTTACTGTGTTTTTTAGATCATCATTCTCAAATAAATAAATAACAGGAAAATGTGGATCTTAACAAAAATGATGTTCTGCATAGACTTTAACCTTGAGGTAATATTTAAAAAAATAAAAAAGTAATAGGAAATGATAATAAAATAAAGATAATGAAAAATAGGAAAATTCATGACGAATAAAATAAAAAATAAAAAATTAAATAAGTAATGAATATACAAATAAATAATTAAATAAATGTAATAATAACGATGATGATACAAATATTTAAGAGCACTTTTATTAGAAATGGCATCTAAAGGTCATATTAATTGTCATGATAATAACATCACAATTCAAAAAAATCTTAATGGTCATTAAATTATCATTGTTTTCTTTATGCAAAAAAATGTTTGTGAATCATGATCTACAAACGTTTTTGTGAGATTCATTAGTAACCATTCGAGAGAGGAATATAATTATCACTACTATATAAAAATAAAAAAACATGTCAATAATCTGTCTTCCAGATATGAATCTATGAAGAGACACAGACACATGATGACACACTGTGATCATGAAGTCACACACACACACACACACACACACACACCATGCAGACTGTGTCCTTTAAATACCCAGAAGACTGTGGGCTTTTGTTTGCTCATGCATCCCAACTTTCCTCTGAGCGTTTAAAGCGTTAACCACACGTTACAGAGATGCAGTGTGTGAGCTGTGTAGAGCTGCTGACTTACGGTTTCATGTTGAAGAGGTCTCGCACGGCCATGGTTGCGTTGTGCTCTCGGTTGCGGTTGCGTTCGGTGAAGAACTTCTCTTTGGTCCAGGTCATGTGGACTCGCTCCGGCGCCGCGTCGGCCTTGTCGTTTAGCGCCGCGTGAGACGCTGTGTTCCTGTCGTGGATCAGCTGAGCCTGTGGCGTCATCACAATCACACATTAAATCAATATATTCACTACTAAAAAAATAAATAAAAAAATAACTAATTTTTCTGTCACCAAACACGAAATTATGAAGAAAAAAAATCCCAGGATGAACACAAAAATATGTGTTTTTTTTTAGATACATTAAATTGAACAAAACAAAAGTTTACAATAATAAATTATAATATATTTCTCTGAACATTATGAGATCTATATTCAAAAGAAAAGCATATCAGATTAATGTTTTAGTTCGTGTACTGCATACATGCAACTATATTAGTCTGTAATATGCAGACTGCTAACATGCGACATGAACCCTTTTTTATTCATTCTTCATATATTTCTTTATAGTTTCCGCTAAATACAGAGAAACACGAGGGAATGAAAGGAAAGAGGGGTCATTGACGATCACGCAGGGTCACAGATGCTCGTGCATGAAGTCACGGACACATGCATGATGGGAAGAGGTTTCTGAAGGGAGGAGCACACGTTACAATGCTAAAGCTAATGCTATGCACACGTAAACCGGTGTAAATCTAGCTGTCTTCTGGCTCTGCACTTGTGTGTGTTTAATCCGGGACGGTGGTCTGGAGTTCTCTACCTCCTCTTGTTTCTCCTCATCTAGTTGGCTGTTCTGGTTATTGAGGCCTGAGCCGTGAGCTCCGCTGTGGTTCTTCCTCCGAATAGAGCTACGCGACTCATCCGTGATGCTCTGAATCTGACGCGTGTTTCCCCGAGAGCAGCAGAAATGAAAGAGGGACCACAAGTCACACAACTGTAATCATGTGCCATAGCCACGACCCTCAGTCCTTCTACGTTATTCTCCACAGCAATGCAGATGCTTTCTTGAATCTCGTGAAGAAATGTCAACGCAAAGTGAAAAAAAAGAAACCATATTTTGCCTATTTTTAGGGCAATTATGAGTTTTTGCATTATTTTCGTGACAATTAAGCACAACAGTTGTTATTACTGTAATGCAAAAATAATATCATCCTGTCCAATTAAAATCAGCATAATTTATAATAAAAATATATTGAAATTTAAGTTCACAATAAATACTAACATGATATATACTTACAAATGTGCTTATTTTAATATATACATACACACACACACACACACACACACACACACACATTTCCTTTTCTGTATATATTTCCTTAATACTATAAAATTAATATATATATATATATATATATATTTTCCATATTACAGTTGTCTACTGATATTGGTTTACAAGATATAGCATGAAAATAATGTGACAATTTAAAAAACAAATGGCTTTCTTTATGCAATATATAATAACTTCTGTTTTCTTTTGATTTTAGAGTGAAATGTGTACATATTTTGACATTTCTTGATAGTTTAGGCGAGATTCACTGATGTAGTATTAATGAATATACTAAAGGCAAATATTATGCGTGTAAATGGACTCGTGCGCTGCTCTGGCTGACTGAAAGCTCACCTCTCGCTCGCGCTCAGTCCTCGAGAGCTGCATCTGCTTCAGCATCTGAGAGCGTTGCTCCATCACCAGAGTCTTCTCGTAGGTGAACGCTGAGATATCACTGTCATGCTGGAGAAACACACACACCACAGGCGCATGAACACACATGAGATTCCTCAACAGGAAGATATTAACACATGATCAACCACACACAAAACTCAAGACGCTTCCTGTAAAAATTAAAGCTTTAAATTATGACAGAAGTATTTCTATGGAATAATAAAATATTAATATGTTAATAATAAATATATGTAAAAAATTAAAGGTACATTTTATATTAGAACAGGTAAATAATATTTTAGCATTTAAAAATAATAATAAGATAATACAATATTAGGCAGCAATAATACATAATTATAATACTTATATTATAAATAAATAAAACATTATATTAAAATGTTAGATAAATAATATTAATAAGAATAGTAATAATAACAACAACAACATTAAAAGATATTTCACTATTATGTAGCAATAATATAATATAACACAAAAATCAAAACACTAAAATAAATATAAATAACTTAATAAAATAATAATAATAAAGATAATTCCATATTATGCAACAATAATAAATAATTGTAATAATAATAAAACAAACTAAAATATTGTATTCATATATTAAATAAATGATAACTACTTATAATAATAAGATAATTCTATATAATATGTAGCAAAAATACATATTTGGATTAGTTATAATAAACTACAACACAAAAATTTAAACATTCTATTCACATATTCAATTAATTAACTAAATATAATATAATATATATATATATTTTTTTTATCAAATCACAGTTTAGATCACAATAAATGACAGTCCTACTGTGCAGCAAACCCAATTTTAGACTCTGGTATCCGCTCACCATCTCCACCACCTCCACCTCAGCGTTCAGACGGAGATGATAGAGGAACATCTGCAGGTCTTTCTTCATCTGGATGCTGTTATCATCTAACTGAGCCACGGTGAAGATGCGCATCTTGCACTTCCTCCACACCTGAGACACGGACACACAAAGTTGCAATGACACTTTTTGATCAGTGTCCTTAAAGGCAGGCGTACAACGGTGCGGGTTCAGACACTTGGGAGGTTGTGAGAGATTGCACACGGTTCGAGTCAGTTAACCTGATAAGTGCCTCAAAGCAGCTGGTACACGGCACGACTGTCCTGCACAAATCTTATCCCGAGCCGGTGGCAATCACGTGAGCTTTCACGCTAAACACAGAGACCGGAGCTTTCAATGTTGCAGGCAACTATAGCTTCAGATAAATGACAGAAATGTGTGTGCAAAGGATGTGTTGAAAAGCAGAGTAACCATTACTCAGGTCAACCACTACATGGTTACTCAGTAACCATTCCTTTCAATATAAATAACATGTTTAAAAACTATCGGGAGGTCGGGAGATGCTCGTAACGTGCTTGGCTCGGCTCGTAATTCCTCTCACACGCTGTGAGCCACGACCATGCGAGCATCAACGATTTCCAAGCGATTTCTCCCGATTAATAGTACCGTATTTTCTGCACTATAAGGCGCACTTAAAAGCCTTTAATTTTCTCAAAAAACGTCAATGCGCCTTATAATGCGGAGCGCCTTATATATGGATGGTGAACACACGTTCACCAAGACGGGGAGACAGCGCCGGCCGACTTACGCCACTATCTGGCAATGGATCGTGGATGCCTGGGCTGATATATCAGTCTCCTGTGATCCGAGCTTTCACGAAGGCAGGAATAATCTCTTTATTCAGCCAGCTCACATACCCGTATTTACTTCCTGTTTTCGGCCGAAGTCCACAGTAGTCGATTGTCGAGTTTGCGCGTGCGATCAAACCTCCTCCGTGTGTTCAACATCTGATCCGGATGAACTATCCATTTGAGCTGATATTCTCAGACACCACACAGCACCGTCATCGGCTGACAGCTGACAGTCTTTGGGTGTTTCTCAAAACCAAGAATGCAAAGAACGGACTTGTGTTCTTGGGGAGAACGCTCTTGCTAGTTGTTCTTGGAAGAATGAACTCACAAGGTGACGAGCACACAGAACGCTGCTGACAGTTTGAGACGATGTGTTCTTGCTGGTATTGCGCAATAATTCCCCCGCACAGACACCGTCTGCAGTACCCAAACATAACGAGAATTATTGACGATAACAGCCAGGCTGCAATGGTCTCTTGGCTGTGGGGAAAAACGAGTCTGTGAGCAAACTGGCCGGTTGGCTCGATAGCTAACGTAACACCCGCAGGCGCTTATGGAGATTCTCACTTCCGAAAACGTTTGAGCACATTTTCGATTAGCCATACATTTTCGTAAAATGCCAATATTTGAAATCTACACAGTTGATTTCTCGCATCAAATGTTCTCAGAAGTGAATTTAGTGATGAAATAGTGTACGTAATTGTAGAAAAACGAAATACTGTATTGACCTGCCTCTCCTTCCTCGAATGCCGAATTGAATGCTGGGATATTTCTGCCGTCAAGTTCACACAAGTTACCAGCCGATGCATCCTCGGTAAAATGGGCGTGTCAAGAACACATCCGGGATTTTTAACTGTTCTTGCCAAAATGCAAACTTGTGTATTGGGACAGTACTTGGGCCACAAAAGATGACGTTTCACAAGAACACAAGGACACAAGTACAGACAAGAACACAGATTGAGAAAGGCCCTGAGTCTCCACTGTTGCTTAGTTACCAATGATCGCGCGCGCGCACTCGACAATCGCCTATTGTGGACTTCGACCGAAAACAGGAAGAAAATACGGGTATGTGAGCTGGCTGAATAAACATCATTTTTATTCATATCTTTCACATTTACTGGAGTCAGATTCACCGTGTTCACTCACATGGCTGTGCACTTGTAATGACACATTAAGGTTGTTAAGAGGCTAAAAGCAGGTTTAAAACTTTTCCCGTTTAAGTCAACAGGGTGCACATTTAAAAAAAGAGGATAACACGGTGTAGGCAACAACGGTTTTTGTCGTTGTTATCTGTACTGACAGCACTCCCAAATTTACAAAAAATGAGCTCAATGTTAAAATTGACCGGAGTTTTCCTTTAACGTTTGAACAACGTTACCATGGGAGTGAACGGAGTTGTCAGAAAGCTTAATAAAGTTTGACTTTATCTGACTGTTTTGTTGACATTTGTTGACATCTAGTGGATGCATAACGCAAACCCAGTCAAACGTTTGACTGCAGTATCTTATGCGCCTTATAATCCGGTGCGCCCTATATATGAAAAATGTTCTAAAATAGGTCATTCATTGAAGGTGCGCCTTATAATCCGGTGCGCCGTATAGTGCGGAAAATACGGTAATGTATGTATCGAGACCGGTCACTTTTACGAAGTCTCGGTCTTGTCACGGCCTTGACGGTCTTTGGTCTTGTCTTGGTCTCGGACCTCTCGGTCTTGTCTAGGTCTCGCTGTCTCAAAAGCTGTACATGAAATGTGTTTTTTAAATCAAGTGATCAAAGTGCTCGTTGCCGCTGCGATCAGTGGTGTGGATACAGTGTTTTCTCGTGTGGCTCGCACACACCGCACGGTCTTCACTCGGACGCGCGCTTCAATCCGTTGCGGATACTCTCTATTCGTTCTGGTGAAATCACAAAACATAATGCACACAAACGTGTCCCTGCTTGATATACATAATCGGTTTTGATGAGAAAAACAAAACAAAAAAAACAGTCTGCAAAAACATTTACAGTGAGCTCACAGTCACACATGCCATGGTCTGTCTCTGTATTGTTCTGCCTGTGTAGTTGAAGTAATACCGTCTAAAATGTATTGAATGTAAACTGCGGCTGAACCCTATATGCTGCTGTTCTTGAATTCATACAAGTTATTGCTTAGCTTCAACACTAGTCTGTTTTTTTTCCCTCCGGTCTCGACTTGGTCTGGGTCTCGGTCTCGACTTGGTCTGGGTCTTGGTCTCGACTTGGTCTGGGTCTCGGTCTCGACTTGGTCTGGGTCTCGGTCTCGACTTGGTCTGGGTCTTGGTCTCGACTTGGTCTGGGTCTGGGTCTCGACTTGGTCTGGGTCTTGGTCTCGACTTGGTCTGGGTCTCGGTCTCGACTTGGTCTGGGTCTGGGTCTCGACTTGGTCTGGGTCTTGGTCTCGACTTGGTCTGGGTCTTGGTCTCGACTTGGTCTGGGTCTGGGTCTCGACTTGGTCTGGGTCTGGGTCTCGACTTGGTCTGGGTCTTGGTCTCGACTTGGTCTGGGTCTTGGTCTCGACTTGGTCTGGGTCTTGGTCTCGACTTGGTCTGGGTCTTGGTCTCGACTTGGTCTGCGTCTTGGTCTCGACTTGGTCTGGGTCTTGGTCTCGACTTGGTCTGGGTCTTGTCTTGGTCTCGATACCCTCTGGTCTTGGTAGTGTCTTGGTCTTGGTTAAGGCGGTCTTGACTACAAGTCTACCTATTAAAAAAAATCATCTGCGAGCTCGTAAAACAGCAAAAATTGCACGTGTACGCCCGCCTCAACAGGATAAAGCTCTGATTCACAGCTCATTCAGGGCCGAACCTTGTGCTGTCGCAGTAAGAAGGGCAGAAGCATCAGCATGCCCCCGTCGTGAACGATCCACCACACGTCGATGGTTCCTTCACTGAGACGCTCCTGATGAGGGAAACTGTCCACGTTTTTGGCCACCAAAAGAGCCAGATGGGCGGCAGTCGTCTCTCGGACCGTCTCTGAGGAGAGAAACACCACAGGCTCTTAACTAATGACCAATGATCTTTGAATCAATCATTTGGTGAGGTCAATTTGTAAAGAAAGACTACGCAAATTCAAATGTGCATATCTATAGACTAAACATGTAATACGCATGTGCACGCCGTCACCGTTTTCTCAGATTCATGTTTTTGAAGTTTACACGGAGATGACAACGTTTTAAAAAAAAATTCTAAACGTGCACCTTGGAACCTTTATCAAAGTTTACGTTCTCGAGCACCAAACACTGGTGTGTGTAAATGTACGGCCAGAACACATTCAAAGTTTCTGTTTTCTGTTAGAACGGTGTCATGTTAGCGGCCCTTGAAGTGGTTTCAATTGTTCTGTAAAATAACTTCGCAGAGATCTTTGATGCCAGAAATATTAGACTTTATTAACAAACAAAGCCGAGCATCCACCTGCAGGGGATCACTCCCTCCAGCAGGAGATCCCTTCCTCCTGCAGGCGATCACTCCCGATCCGTGCCCAGCTTCTCACATATATCCATACATCCTTTTCCAAAGATGGTCATACACTTATAGATAGTTTTGGGTGAAGGTCTTGTACCATGTGACTTCTCAGAATAGAATTGACATTCAGGGTCTTTTTACAGAAGGTCTTGCAGCTTTCAAAGTCACCTAGACAGAGTCCTTTCAGAGGACTCATACAAGAAATAATTGTGTATTCTTATAAGGCTAAATTTCTTGTTTTCTGAATAATACAATCTTCAACACCCTTAAGTTAATAACTAATGATCTGTGCAACAAAAGTGAATCAATCAAAACTAACTTTAGCTGGACTTTATTCTAGAGCTGCTGTAAAGCCAAAATAATCTCTGTAACTTTAATTTCCTATTATCTCTGTAAAGCTGCTTTGAAACAATCTATATTGTTAAAAGCGCTGTATAAATGAAGGTGACTTGAGATCTTAGTTGCATGTTGTTGGAGGAAATCCTACAAGTCTAGTTATATGTCGGTTTCTTCCTCTTTAAATGAGATGCAGCATCTTCCTCAGTTCAACAGTGTGTGTGTGTGTGTGTGTCCAGTCTCAGACCTATGAAGCTCTTCCAGGACTGCGGGTCGTTCGACTGTCTCCAGTTCCCGGGCCAGGCCATCAGAACAGAGTTGTGTTTCATTCCTCCGAGGCCGGCGGACTGGACCAGGTGAGAGATGCCGTCGCGCTGGTTCGACGACACCACAACATGGCAGAAGCCCTTCGTCTTCTCTGCGGACATGGCTGATTTTATGTTCTACAGTTGTAAATAAATGAAGAAAATAATCATATCTGATATCATTCAGAGACATTTCATTAACACGAAGAAAGATGGATTCTGGATTGATCAGTTGTGTCTGTGGCCACTAGGTGTCAGTGTGAGCTCAATCATCCAGTCCTGCTGCGCAACAACAACATCATGTTTGCTCAGTTTATTTCAGGACAAACTGTCTTGATATTTTGTAATTGACTGTTCGTACTGTGTGTTTCAGATCAATTTATATAAGAGTGAATCTTAAATTAGAGGAACTTCTTATCCTCTAGGATGATTTTAAAGACAAAATACTTTCACAAAAACAATCAGTGATTCTTGTTTTAAACTAAGGGTAGATTATAATAGCTTTACACTCTAACACAAAGATTGAAACATTATATTAATATATTAAATAAATTAATAATAATAATAATAATAAGACAATTCAATGTAATAATGCAGCAATAATAAATATTTATAATGATTACAATATATCATATTTTTTAACGTATTCAAATATTAAATTAATGAATACTACTACTAATAACATAATATAATATAATTGTGATTGTGTATTATTATTGTGTTTTTTAGTTAGTTAGTTATATACCCAATAACTAAAAGTAACTTAAAAACACTTTAGATTTGTATTATCTAAAGTTAACAAAGATAAATAAATACTGTAACAAATGTATTGCTCATTGTTAATGTTAATGTACTTACTAATGTTAACTAAATGGGACCTTATTGTAAAATGTTACTAATCAGTTTATAATAAATGTATACAATTATTAAAATCATGAAAATCATATTTTGATTTTCATATTTCAAAATCAAAATCATATTTGATTTTACATATCATACTGTAACTAGTAACTGTCCAAGTATCAGGCTTATCTAACTTTTTCTCCAAAAATGTTGAATTTAAGTAGTAAAAAGGCCTTTATTTGAAGAATCACTCATGTTTGTTTCATGTGTCACACACACACACACACACGCACACACACACAGTCTCTCTCTCTCACACGCACACACACACACACACACACACACACACACACACACACACACACACACACACACACACACACACACACACACACACACACAGTCTCTCTCTCTCACAAGCACATACACAGTCGCTCTCTCTCTCTCTCTCTCTCTCTCTCTCTCTCTCTCTCACACACACGCACACGCACACAGTCCTCTCTCTCTCTCTCTCTCTCTCTCTCTCTCTCTCTCTCTCTCTCTCTCTCTCTCTCTCTCTCTCTCTCTCTCTCTCTCTCACACACACACACGCACGCACACACACAAACACACACACACCTGTTCTGCTTGTTTGGCCTCAGTGTCTCTGGTGAGGTACGTTCCCTCCAGCACTGAGCCCACGATGGTCAGACCTTTCCCAGCTTTCAGCTGTGTGGTGAAGGACAGGAGACGAGGGTGTTTCACCGACAGCTCAGTGTCCAGATTGAGGAGAACCAGCAGCTGAGGTCTGGAGAACATCAGGGACATCAGGAGTCAATGCTCCATCAGGAGCTATAGCACAACTCATGCATGTTCTGCTTATCCTTCACTCCACACCCTGCTTATAGAATTACCTATTCATGGCTACAACTTTTCATAGTACAATGTATATATGTGCTGTTGATCATGTGTTTTAATGCATTATACTCTTCAAATTGTAACACTGAATAGGTATGTATAAGCTATTAGTGCATAACCTTTAACCTTACAATTATTTACAAGAACAACTGACTAAAAGGTGGACTGAATATATTATTATGCACTAAAAAAAGAAAGGATTCTCCATTCTCAAATCAAACTGTGGAGGTTTTTCTGGCTCGGGATTAAAAGATTAAGCAGGACTATCGGAGGTGTTATGCTTTCAGGTGAATGATGTCAATCTGAGGCAAGCAGTCAAGAGCTCAGGATATCTGCCATTATCATTAATGATCATTTACTCTTTATCGAACCCCACACAAGTTGTATAAATAAAATCCCCTGAAATTAATTCCAACTGGGATTATTCTAGCGCAGCTGGGAAGTCGTGAGCAACATTATTGTAGTATCATTGAGATATTATTATAGTCTTTATTATAGTTAATAGTCTGAATTTGTTTTTATTTTTATATTTTTATTTTAGTAGTTTTGTTGTATGTTTTTGTAATTTTTGTTAGTTTATGTCTATATAGTTTTTTTTCTATTATGTTTATTTATGTTTACTTGTCAACTATGTTTTTAATACATTACTTCATTACTTTATTTGAATATACAACAATGTGATTGTTTTCTGGTTTTAGTTTGAGTTAACTATAATAACCCGTGCTGGACAGACTCTCATCACAGGAACTAAAGAGGCTCAGACACGGGGAAACAGGGAAGACCTGTAACAGAGATTGTCTACAGGCTCACAGATGTCGCAGAACAAATACATATCAATTTCTCCTGATGTAGATTAGACCGCTGCGACGAGATATGAACAGGTTTGACCTGGTTCCTGAAAGACGACGGAAGTTTCATTGCATCTCATTGTATGCAGGTTATTTAATCCATGAAAGATTACCGAGAGCTCTGGGAAAAATCCAACACTGATTGTCTCTGGATTATGACACTGAAGTGCGAGTGAAGGAGCGAAAGAAAGCCGGCGTTGAAATGTGTTGACTGCTAGATATTCTGCTATAGACTGCTATATCTTGCTTTTAATTCAGTGAATTTTTTAAAACATGATAACCTTCAATACATTTTATGTGATACATTTGGGGAAAAAAAAGACCTTACAGTAAAAATATTAAATAAATAAATAACATTGTGATAAACACATGATATGCACTACTGTTCAAATGGTTAGGATAAAATGTTTTAATTCGAAAGTTTAAGATTTTAAATGTTTTGAAAAATGATTTTATGCTCACCAATGCTGCATTTATTTAATTAAAAATACAGTAAAAACAGTAATATTGTGAAATATTATTACAATGTAAATCAGCTGTTTTCTATGTGAATATACAGTAAAGTGTAATTTATTCCTGTGATCAAAGCTGTATTTTCAGCATCATTACTCCAGTCTTCAGTGTCACATGATCCTTCAGAAATCACTCTAATATGATGATTTGCTGCTCAAGAAACATTTATGATTATTATCAGTGTTGAAAACAGTTGTGCTGCTTGTTTTTCATTTTGTTTCTCAGGGTTCTTTGATGAATAGAAAGTTCAAAACAACAGAAATGATTTGAAATAGAGTCTTTCGTAACATTATAAATGTCTTTACTGTCACTTTTGATCAAATGAATGCATCCTTGCTGCATTAAAGTTCTTTAAAAAATCCCAAACTTCTGAACAGTATGATTTTGGACATGCAGCCCAGGTGATTATTTTAATATGGATTTATTGGTTTGTGTAGAAGTGCTTGTGTGTTAAGATCCTGACCTCCAGTTTTTGGTGTGTGGAGGCGCCTCCTCTAACCGGATGAGAGCGAAGCGCGCCGCATTGAGGGAAACACCCCGGATCCCGTCGCCCCACTCCTTCTCCGCCCTGAACACATGTAAAATCACTGTGAGGGAGTATTAACTTACAATGACACTGCAGACAATCACTCAGGCAGATTCATCAGTAATCAGCTTAGCGTCTGACTGACTCACGGCGTGGGCTGTAATGCTCTTCTGCAGCTCTTACCCGCGGTATTCAATGTATTTGTAGATGCATCCAGCGATGAGCATGGCCACCAGAGCGTAGTACCAGGAGGATATGAACATCAGAGCCAGACACAAACTCATCCCGAGAAACGACAGAGTCCTGATGAAAGACAACAGCAGCGCCAGCTCAGTTCAAGTACACAAAACATTTGAAATAAAACGATGATAAAGAATAAATCACCTAGATGGCAATAAGATCAAATGGAGGGCAAATGGAGACATTAATGTGCCACTAACTTCACCAAATACACATGCCAAAATAGCAATATTTTTTTAAACATGCAATTAAGAGTAATGTTTTTTTGACCCCTTTTTCTGATCAAAAAAGTTTTCAAAGTTGTCCTAAGACAAGAACGGGTATTATTTGAAATTTGTGTATAACTTCGATGAAAGGTTTTGATCCACTTCAAATGTTGACTACTGTATATAATCCTTCACTATACAGTATATAATCCTTGAGTATATATAATCCTTCAATATATATAATCCTTCAGTAAGTCATTATACTTCAGTTCAGTGCATTTCCACCAAAGACGTACAAATTAAAATGAGTTTTGATAGCATATTGATTTAAGAGAAACTTAGTGTGGGGCTTGACATTATCCATCAGGAATTAAATTGACTGAAAAATTCAGCTTTGATCACAGGAATAAATTACACTTTAATATATATTCACACACAAAACAGCTGTTTTAAATTGTAATAATATTTCACATTTTTTACTGTAGTTTTGATCAAATAAATGCAGCCTTGGCGAGTAGAAGAGACTTTTTTCAAAAATATAAAGAAATCGTACTCAAGCCATACGACAGATGACTGTAGTGTCTCTCACCAGTGGTAGAATTTGAAGCGTGGTCTCCAGTTGGGCGTCCTCAGGAGCGTCTGAAGTGCACAGGCCAGATTTACGAACAGATAACACATGAGAAAGAACCTGACGAGAGAAACACAGTCAAACAGGCGTGTCGTTAGACATGGGCATCCAGGGCTTAAGCCCCGGATGTTTTTTTTTATAGCCCCGGATCTCAAAAAATTGAATTTATTGATAATTATTATTATTTTTGAATAATTTTGTATTTATTTAAAAAAATTGACCGGGTCTTTTAATCTATCATTCGGAGTCATGTATTAAAGACGATTAAAATGTGTTCAAGCAGATCAAAGTTACTACGGTTATAGCATGCTTGCATTTAGAGTGCGCACCAGAGGAGAGAGAGAGAGAGAGAGAGAGAGCCTGAAAGAGCCATCGGTTAACTTACAGCTTTAGGGCTTGACTGTCATTGTTGTTTGTGGCTTCTGGTGGTTGCTATTATGGACATTAGACACTTTAAAAAAAGTAAAATAAGGAGTCATGAACGATACGAGGCGGATGAGAGGCAAGAAGAGTTATCTACTGGCGATAGGGTGACCAGAAGTCCCGAAAAATTCGGGACAGTCCCGAAATCTAAGCTGTTGTCCCGAATCCGGCCTTAATTGTCCCGAAAATTATACTAAAGCAAAATCTTGATATAAGACATTAAAAACTGTCCGTGGAAGTTGAGTCGTTCTGCAGCCAGCCCCATCAAGTTGCAGCAGCCGCAGCCGCGAGGACAGTGAATGTGCAGGCAAGCCAGCCAGTCTAAACTTTTGTTTTTAGCCTCGTCAATTAGACTAATTTAATCGCTGTTTTGCGGCCGTTTTTTTAAATGAAACATACACTGAACGTGGAGAATTAACAACTTTTTATTGTTAACTGCTGCGCAGTCATGTGATTTAGTCAGCTTGATTAACATTATTACAATATATTCCGCTGGTGGCGGGTTGACTAGCTTTCGTGAGGCACACTCGCAAGGTCTCTCGCTCTCTCTCTCTCAGCCGTGCTCGCGCTATGTATGTTATGCAGTATGTTCTGTCTCGCATGCGCGCTCTAGATTCCGGCAGATCTGAACTAATTTGCGGGCATCAGGGAGACGCAGGAGACTCCCGGGAGACTTGGGATGTCTGCAATGGCCACAGACAATTTGAGGAAGTGGTGGGGGAAGTGACGTATGCCGTAAAGCAGTCGAATTTTGTAGTTCTTTTTGTGCACGGGTTCCTACCCGAAACCCGAAGTTACATAGTGCCAGTAAAAGCGATACAGACCACGTCAGGCTATGGCAGACGTGTCATTTAACTTATTTTAAGTCGATGTACCATCACAAGGGTCTTGGAAATATATTATGAAGGTTGAAAAACTACATAGTGTTACTTTAAGCCAGTAGGTGGCGACAAGTGACTGTCTTTATGAGTGAACAATAAACTTTAATTGAACTGATTAGTGCCAAAAAACATTGATTAACTTAAAGGGGTCATATAATGGTACATGCACTTTTACAAGTTGATTGTACTGAAATGTGTGTTGGCAGTGCCTGTACACAACCATAATATAATGATAAAAATCCATCCAGTGGTTTTGTTTTAATCTCCTTATATGTTTTCCCCTGTCTTAAATTGAGCCGTTCGTTTTTGTGACGTAAATAAAACGGACGCCCCTCCCACGATTGTTGATTGACAGCCGCGACAGCCGCGTTTCAACACAGACCCGCCCTCGCTAGCTGTCAATCATAGTCTGCGCGGACCGGCGCGGTCATTGTTGACATGCTGGAGCACTGTCTATGAGCAGAATGGCGTCTAAGCGATTGGTGTTCTGTTCTTGGGTGTAATAATGAACACAGCAGTCATTTTAATGTTCCTAAATCCGAACCGCTGAAGACTGAGTTTGTTTTCGAAGGGAATATTCCCCACGAGCAACGTCAATGCTCTCATGTTTGCGCGAATCATTTCTCACCAGACTGCTTTATAAACGAGGATCAGTATAAAGCTGGTTTTGCTAAGAAGCAGCTCCTGAAGAAAGGATCGGTAGCAGATATTCGTGTTCCTGCTGAACCTCCAAAAGAACTGAAGTGAGTGTAACGTTTTATTAAACTTTATATTACTATTTATATTAATCCTTGTAAATCGCTAGCTGCATGCTTCACAATGAATGCGTCTAAGGTTTACACTCAGGGTACATTACGGCATGTTTTCTATGTATGACGTTCTCAATATAATTCATAATCCCACGTTTATACTGAACAACGCGTTATTATTGTGTTACAAACGGTGTACGCCAGAGCCGGCTCTGGTGACACATAGAACAGAGGGGCGGAGTCAGCAAAGCTCATGATCATTTAAAGTCATATGCACTGAAACGGCGTGCTGAAAACAGAGCTGTTTTTGACCAGGTAAAATAAGTGTTTTCTTACAATACTAATGAGAATTTTTAATTAAAGTATATTACAAACTTTTAATTTAGACCCTAAAGAATCATATTAGCTTGTACAAAAATGGCATTATATGGCATTATATGACCCCTTTAAGAAAGAAACCAAGTTGCTGAAACCAATCTTTAATGCTAATATATAAATTGCTCATTTGCCTCTGGACGCAATCTTTGTGTCCAGAGGCAAATGAGCCATTTATATATTAGCATTAAAGATTGTGTATTGTCAACAATAAGCAGAAACCTTCTGCATTTCCAGGTGTGGATCATTCATTTCAACATTTATCCTCATTCTCATATTTAAGAATCTGTTATCTGCTTGACAAATAATTTATGCTACTGCCCACTGACATGCTTTTAAAGCTATTGTTATCCAATTTTTATGACCTTCAAACACCTTAAAATGCACATATTTAGGTCTGAGAAATCCAAATTTTCTCGGGGGAGTATGCCCCCGAACCCCCCTACCTCACATTTGAATGTGTGTGACTGTGTGGTAATGTGGGCTGGTGTAGTTACAGTGCCAGGGATGTATTTTTCTTAACCAGTCTGCCCCCTGCATATAGGCCTGCAATATACATTATTCTCTGTATCGAATCATGTTATCTTATTACCCACCCCAGCCCCTGATGTTTCGGGTTCAGCCCCTGATGTTTTTAAAACCTAGAAACGCCCCTGCAGTCAAACACACAGTCTGTCACCACACTGGAGGAGAAAACACATTAGACACGGGGCTTACATTGAAAGGATGGGCGCCACAGCGTCGAGAGAAGCGATGAGAATCCCACTTTCACAGATCAGAGCCGTCAGAAGAAGAGCCCACGTCGGCTCTCCGTTGGCTTTGCCATGACCAAACACCTGAGAGACGATCACATGACAGTCAGAGAATGGCAGGATATGTGGATGCTTGTGTGTCGTAAGTATTGTTGTTGATACTTTATTGATCCTTTACGGGAAATTACATTGTCACAGCAGCTTCAACACATAACAAGCACATCACCACACATAACAAACAATTCATTTCCGACTCTCGTACCAATCAACAGTGTTATGCCCGGTTCCGATCACACGATTCTAGCACGATCCGTTTAACGTAGGGTATCGTGGCGATTCGTAAACGACAACGGGCGCCGGGACGCAAGATTCGATCGTTTCATCTCGTATAGTGTGCCATAGTGGGTGACAACCGACGTCGTTTATCGATGCTTCACGACATCACGATAAAAAGACTAGCATGTTTAATTTTTTTCCAGTCCTCCGCGACGGGTTCCGTCAAGAGTGAGGGAGTGAGTGAGTGTGTGTGTGCGCTTGAGTGAGTGAGTGAGTGAGTGAGTGAGTGAGAGTGAGTGAGTGAGTGAGTGAGTGAGTGAGTGAGTGAGTGAGTGAGTGAGTGAGTGAGTGAGTGAGTGAGTGAGTGAGTGAGAGTGAGTGTGTGTGTGTGTGTGCACGAGTGAGTGAGTGAGCGAGAGTGTGTGTGTGCACGAGTGAGTGAGAGTGAGTGTGTGTGTGTGTGTGTGCGCGAGTGAGTGAGTGAGTGTGTGTGTGTGTGTGCACGAGTGAGTGAGTGAGCGAGAGTGAGTGAGTCTGTGTGCACGAGTGAGTGAGTGTGTGTGTGTGCGCTCGAGTGAGTGAGTGAGTGAGTGAGTGAGAGTGAGTGTGTGTGTGTGTGCACGAGTGAGTGAGTGAGTGAGCGAGAGTGAGTGAGTGTGTGTGCACGAGTGAGTGAGTGTGTGTGTGCGAGAGTGAGTGAGTAAGTGAGTGAGTGAGCGAGAGTGAGTGTTAATGTGTGTGTGTGTGTGTGTGTGTGTGTGTGTGTGTGTGAGTGTGAGTGTGTGTGTGAGTGAGTGAGCGAGCGAGCGAGAGTGTGTGTGTGTATATATGTGTGCGTGTGTGTGTGTGCGTGTGCGTGCGTGTGTATGTGTGCGTGTAAGACGGCGCGCGATGACTGGTCGGAGAGCAACGTGTTGTCTGACATGTTTCTTGGCCACGACACAAGATTTTAGGAGTCAAAATCGCGTAATCTGACTATCGTAACAGACAAAAAAATTGTGTAATCTGAACCAGGCTATAAAAGAATAAAAAATTGACAAGTAATACGAATAATTGCTAAAACACTAATATCAAAGATGTTCACATGTTGACATGAGTGCAAAACTATGTTGTAGTTGTCATGGCACATTAAACAGTCTGACTTTGGTGCGATCAGTCTGTGACTGAAGGTGCTGCTGTTAATCACTGTCAAGTATGAAATCTGAATAGCCATTCTGGAGCTCTGAGGTGTTCGTAGAGCAGATTGTACCTCGAGGAAGGGCACGATGCCGTCTCGAGCGATGGCCTGCAGCAGACGGGGGGCGCCGGTGAGACTCTGAAGCCCCGCCCCACAGCAGGAGAAGAACGAGCCAATCACGATCACCCAGGGCGAGGGCCAGGACAGCGTGCCAATCACCAGGTTGCCTTTCACAGAGTCTCCAAACCTAATCAACAGGATTGATTTTTTATATATTTACATTATTATACAATATAGTAAACATTTTGTGCATATATTTAGTTATGCACATTGTGACATTTTTTTAACAACAATTTTATTCATGAAAAATTGTCTTTTTACTTTTTTTAAAAGTTTAACAGCATTTAAATATATATATATATATATATATATATAAAAAACATATTTTATGTATATTGTGACATTTATTATGTGACTGAAGTATTTCTCTCAGGCTTTCATGTTTTTTTACTATGAATCTTGGGAGGAAACATAATTGCTGCCTATCTTTGGAACAAGTACTGTCTAGATAGGGAGCACACTAGGTGTAGGAATATTCCTGATATAATCACAACACAAGGCGACTCTTGGGATATTTCTCATAAAGGGTTCTTTGACTGCAGTGCCTAAACTGCTCATAAACAGGATTGCACACAAACCGACCGTTATTTAAAGGAGATTTCCTGTATGTTTATTCAGGAAAATGAGGATTCTGAGAGGAAAATGAGGAATAGAAAGCGCTCACTTGTCTCGGAGCACCACACCGTCGATGCAGGCGCCGAACAACACGACGCAGGACAGATCTGAGTTACACTGTTAAGAAAACGATCCTCCCAGAGGATGAGAGAAGACAAACAGCAGCTCTCCTTACACTTTCTCTCAGAGACACACAATGATTCAGGGATTTAGTGGAGCGGGATTCTACTAGATGGAAAACTGTGCAGTGGATTTAAAGGAAGGTTTCTAAGGGAAGTAAGGATACAGATGATGGTGGTGGTTGCGATGGCGAGGATGGTTCCGATGGGAATGGACCTCTGAGCGTCTCTCAGATCCCCGGATCTGTTGGATCCAGCCATGATTCCTGCAGAACAGAGGTGTGCGTTTTTATCAAATCATGCCAAAACGTAATTCTTATAAAGTTATAAAAGAAAAATGTTGAAGTACTGGTATATGTGATTGAATGAACGTTGTCCCTGATTCAAAATTCAATAGCAAAAACTGTTCGAGCCAACAAAACGGCTGGCAAAACAACAAAAGCCAAACCTAAAACTATTAAAAATAAAAAATTTAATAATAAATACAAATAATAATAAAAACATTTTTAAATAAATAGAGTGGAAACTAACTAAAATAAAATAAAATAAAATGTAATAAAAAAGTTTAAGTTGAAAAGAAAAACAAAAACTAATAAAAATGACAAAATCACATACCAAATGACTAAAACTAATATTTAAAATATAAAAATAAAAGCTGATTCAAAAATATTACCTCAAATACTACAATAGTATATAAATAATACTAGTTTGAGTTAGTAAGTTCTGTGAATTTCCAGGTCATTCAATGAAATGAAAAATGTTCACTTTTCATACACTCCAATTTTATTTTGTAAAAAATCTATAAATATGTATTGCTTCTTTGCATTGCTATATATACGGTACTATATACGGTACACATATAAACAAAATGTAGCTCTATTATTTGTAAGTATTTTTGTTGTATTAAACATTTTTAATTGAACTGAAATGACTGTTTTGGTCAAATGTTCCTCTGAAAACAATATATAAATCAACATTTAAAGCCACTTCAGAGCAGATGCATAAATATTGAGATATGTATGCATGATATCACCCAGCTCGAATGCTCAAGGCAAATATGAGGGTCTTTTCCAAACCTCTATCCCTGTTATTGCAGGAAGGTCATGTCCTGACTCCTGATAGTGCAGCGCAGCATGAAACGCTATCGCTCTGTTTACAGAGAGTTCACATGCGCTCCTGCTGAGCTCAATGTCAGTCTGAGAGCACTAGATAAGACAGATCGCTGTTCACGCTCATAACCAGATCAAACTAGATTAGTTACAACAGCACAGCAGAGGGAGGAGAAAGACAATACGAGAAGAGAAAGGAAATCCGAAAGAAAGAAGCTTTCTAATGAACCTAACAGTGATGTGAAGAGCGTGGTGTGTTCGTACCCGTGACCGAGGGGAAGTAGATTCCCACCAGCAGTGTGAAGAAGGTGGTGATGTCGTTGACCACATACGGCATGTCCTTGTCCTGAGGCGAAGCGATCGCCGGCACCGACGGGAGGTCTTTCTCCACCATCATGCCAGCGGGACCGTAGCTTCCCCACATGTTCTCTGTGCAAAGAAAATCAGCACTAAACGTCAAGATATTGAGCGACTCGTTCATTTTAAGATAAGCTGCTATTTTTGCCCATTTGGTTCGGTAATATCTGCATTTGAGAAACCACTAAAATTGATAAGTTTTATCAAGTTCATGTCAGTCTGACTCTGAAAACAAATCGCACTGATGGAAATTCTCCATTAACAAATTACACTTCACGGTTTTGCTTGAAATGCAAAGTTTAACTTTTCATTATCCTTAACATTAGTTCACTACATTAGTTAACATGCAATTCAAAACACAAATCTTAGTCGGTGTATATTTCAACATTTACAAATGCATTAGTAAAATCAAAAGCTGTATTACTTAAAATTATTTAAATGGACCTGCTGACATAAAAATACTACTGTTCGTTGTAAGTTCATTAACTAATATTAACAAAGATTAATAAATACTTTAACAAATATAATGCTCATTGTCAGTAAATGCATTAACTATCTTTATCTAATGGAGCTATTGTTGTGTTGACACACAACATCCAAAATGGCATACTTCCCTACTATATAGTAGGTGAGAAACAGTATGGGACAAAATGAGTATGTCTGAATTCATGGGCAAGTAGGCAACAAGTACTTGGATGACTACTACTTCCGGTGAGAGTCTGAAGTGTGATACGATGGACACTTTACTATCCCATGAGGCCACGGGAGAGAATCTGTGAATGACAGTGAAGTGACGGTAGATCACATGATAATCATTAATGACAACATGGCGGATGTAGTACGTCCAGTAGGGCTGTGAATCTTTGGGTAGGCAGCGAATCGATTCGATTCACGATTCATAGGTTTTCGATTCGATTCAAGAACGATTTTTGCAAATTCAGAAAGATTCGATTCAATGCAATTCACATTAAAATTCGATGCGATTCGATTAATTCGATTCGATTCTTAATTTTTTATATGCATTCATAGGATTATTTAAATGCTTCCCCCAATGGGTCTTAGTCAGGGTGTGAATTATAGGCTACAGCTGCCTTCCGGGGTCAGAGAGTGAAAAAAAAAAAAAAAAAAAAACATTTTGTCTATTGTTAACGTTAGTTCATGTTAGTTTTTAATGAATCTATTATTATAAAAAATATTTCCAAAGCCTATAAATTAGCATTTGTAAAAATGTAAACCAAGATTTAAAAAGGCTTTAAAAGTATAGTTAGTTCATCATGCTAACTATTTTGAATGGATACACAACCTTAAAGTGTTCTGGTACATTAAACATCCTCCATTGTGAGACTAAAAATACCATGAACTTACCCAACTAAACCTTACGTTTCCTCATGGAATAGCTACTCTTTGTTCTCTTTATCCGACTGAACATTTTCCTTGTGATTCTGAAAGAAAACGCGCCGGCTGTCTACTTGTGCTATATTAACGATTATGAATGCAACTTTAATGCGCATCTGATTGATGGATAAACCACGCGCTCTTATTTCAGTGTAATTAATGTTGTAGTTATTTCATCAGTTCAGTTTAACGACATTAAGTTACATTTCATTCATCATTCATGATTAATCGGAAGCGTGTGCATTTTAGACACCTATTATACGTTTTCTCTTTCCATGTAATGAATGCGCACCCTTGAATAAGTGGGGTTTTACTTTAACTGCTCAGGACGGGTATGACCCATTTCCGTAAAACTTCAGTATCTTATCTTAAAGAAAATAACGGTGACGTTTCCACGCAACGAACGCGTTGTTTCATAGTAGTGACCGCGCAATGACAGCTTTATCAATGGCTTGCTTTCTCGATAGAGAGCTGTCATCTGCTCATGTGAACACTAATGGCTGTCCTGAGGAGAGCTCAAACATGGACTGCTCAAAAATCTGTAGATGAGAGCTATATGGGACCGAGCGCGAGCGAAATCCAGTGAAAGATGGTAAGAGTGCAGCGAGTATGTGAGAGCTGTGAGGACGCGAAATGACGCTGCACAACGCCTCATTAATTCGCGCATGTAGTCATTTAATGTTTATATGTTTTAAAGCACTGAATCGATATAGAATCGCGAATTATTCGATTCTTAGCATTTTAAATCGAATATTGACCGAAATAAACGATTCACGATTCGAAATACATGTTTCAAGATCGATGCATATGCATCGTCAGGATTTGTAATCGATGCATCGAGAAAACGAATGAATCGTTACACCCCTAACGTCCAGATTACATTCATACTACACACATTCATAATTTTTAGCAGCCATGAAGTAATTACTTATTTAAAATAAGTACCTACTCAAGAGAGTATGTGATTTTGAACACAGCCCGAGGCGTGAAATGTGTAATATAATGTTCCATAAGGGACTTTTTTCTTCGTCCACTACATTAAAATCAACATTAAGCCTATAAAACACAAACACTGTGGTAGTTTGATCAAATTATGAGGACAAATTGACTCACAGAACAAGCCGTGAAACATCACTTGAATGTACTGCACTGACCTACTTACACAAAACTCCAGGCCAGAGCCAGACACTGTAATGCTGCGTGAAAACAATTATTTCTGCTCACTTTAAAGTCAGGCCTGGCCTGTTAAACCCAGCAGAATCCAGTCTGGAGCAGCAGACAGCATCAATGCCATTCAAAAGAGCCACAGCGGCTTCATGATCAATAACCCTGGAGTCCCTGATGGGCTTGAGCTGAATACACCAGCGTATGGCAATGATTAGAGGAGATATTAAACACACACAGATTTACTACTCTTGAACTCTTGTCATGCTCTGTCACTCTACAGTAGAGACCTTTGGGGTCAGAGGTCAATGTAATGCTCCAACGCAGGAGTTTTCAATCTGTAAAAACTGTATAATAAAAAAAAAAAAAAGTTTTTTAGAAGATGTAAATAAAAGATTATTGGTGTATGTTTAACAGGAAAATACCATTTCACTCTTTCTACTTAAAAATATATAATATTGGGGGTGCTTAGCATCAAAAAGTTTGAAAACTGCTACTCTAACACTCATGCCACACACGTCTGCATAAGATTGAACAGTTAATAGTCATTTAGACACTTTTCTACAGCAACTAACACTAAAAGCTGAGGCTAAAATGAACACAAATAATCCATAATGTCTCTTATTTCAGAGTGGATATTCAAGACTGCAACGACCAAACCTTATTTTTCTAGGAATAACTGATGAATCTTGCACGACAAGATCAGGAACATGTACAAGAATGTATAGAAGGACCATTTTGACTTGATTTACTCAAACTCATGGTCGATGTTCTGTGCAATAGTGAAGCAGAAGGTGTGCCGGCACCTGAAATGGCTCCGCTGGTGAGGCCGGGAATGCCCTGGATCTCGGTGACGTTATTGAGGCTGAAGTATTCATTGCAGCTGGCGTTGAGCTCCGGCCCGTTACAGAAGAGAGCCCAGAGCCTCGTGGTCACGGTCACGTTGTCTATTATATCGGTCTTCATGCACTTGTCAAAGCCGTGGTTCTGCAGGGTGCGGTTGCCCAACAAACAGACCCTGGAGAGGACAGAAGAGCGTTTAGAAACAATTCAAAAGACTTAAATGAAAGTTTATTGTCAGCACGGTTGTGGTGATTGAGAAAGCTTGTGAAACAAACACTGCTGCGGATGTTTGTGGTTCAACAAAAGGCACTGAGAGCTGCCCAACGCTGCTAAAATCTATAAAGAGGCTCTGTTTAGTTCAAATAGGCGATGCTGTAAAACATACAGTACAATGAGGCGTCAGCATTCTGAAGCAATAAAGGGCAATAGTTGGGTTTCGGAAGTAGCAATTCTCCATAGAGACATTTTATGATTTTCAAATCCTTTTTATTAAAATCAAAGTGCACTGAAATAAAAGTGTTAACATAAATAAAATAAAATAATGTAACTTTTTACATTTTTGAATAAATGTACATTTATTCAAAGCTTATTGGAATCATGTCTTGTATACTTAAAAATAATTTATGCACGATAGCCGCACGAAAATATAACTGGATATTATGGAAATAAACTATTCTAAAATTTCCATTTACTAAAAAAAACATACTTAATAAATACATTTAATTCTAATGCATTTCCATGCAAGGCATACTGGGAACTAGAGATCCATGTTCAGATGGTTATTCACAAACACAAAAATCAAAACCAGTTAACCTCCCTTTTACAAATGTATATAAATTGAACAAAGTTACAGAATGTTCAAGAATTGTGTTGGTTTAACTCATTTTAATTAAGTAAACTGAAAAAATAGCAAAAATGTTTTTTTGAGGGTTTCTAATGAGCTGGTTGGTTTGGGTTAAGGCTCCTGAATAAGTGATCCCTGATGAACCTTCATGAACTTTAACATCTGACTTACGGAAAAACCGGAGGTTCAAAGATGGTTTTGAAGACGCCAGCGTAGATGGACAGGATGGACAGCACCACACAGGCCAGGAACACCAGCGCGAGCTTGTTGACGTACTTCACACCAACGAACACCACCACAGCCATGAGTGTTAGACAACACGTGCCGTACACACGCATGTTATTCAGCATGGCCTCGGCCTCCAGCGCCTTCTCCTCTGCCTTAAAGATGGCGGCGCTGGGCACGATGTAGGTCTGTGGCACAACACAGAATGAAGATGTTCATTTTATTTATAGAAGAAAATAAAGAGGAAATAATGGGGGGAAAACGGGGAATTAAAAAAAAAAAAAAAATAGTTACTGCAAAAATCAGTATTGTATCTGGTTGGTATTGAAAAGTCAATGTTTAATTTGAAGTAAAATGCGATATCCGCCGTGTTATTCTGTCATGTTTTCTCCCTTTCTTTCCAAACCGCGACAAACGCCAGTCTCCCTTCTCTGCAGAATGCGATATATCCGCTCTCAACCAATCACAACGCAGCATTCCACGCAATGTAAACAGTAACGGCAGCGCCAAATACACCCGGCTTCCTAGTTTTTCTTATCGATTTTGTACTTTTCGATCAACAAACAAACAAAAAAATGAATAATTTTGACGGCATTGATGAACCTGTGGTTGTTTCTGCGGTGGGTAAGAAACGTAAGGCATCGAAACCGAATCATTTACGTGAGGAGATTAAGAAGATGAGGCACTCGGGAGGAGGAAAAATGTTTTCAATCTTCTTTACAGTTCTTAATAAAAATATTATACTAATAAACTTACGTTGTTGTGTATTTTCAACAGTTTCAATATGAATATTTTTTTTATATATTGATTCAATGGATTAATTGCATTTTGAATAAAAAAAAAAAGGATTTATTGCATTTTGGGGGAAAAAATAATCAGTTTTTATAATAAATCTTTGAAAATCAAAACCTGGATTTTTTTTATTTTTTTTATTATGACCTACAAATGCTATGTGAAAGTTTGAAACAGAAAATAGTGGTTTTCATCTTTCCACTTTCTTGGTAAAGAAAACACATTTTTACTCAAATTAATCTAAATGGATTAATTGCGTTTTGGAACCAAACTCTTCATATATTTTCATGTTCTAAGGACATTTTGATAATGATCCCATTAATTTACATTCAAAACGTCCAATTATTTTTACAAATGTTTATTGGCTATGTGGACATTAAGGAAAGTTTTGTAAAGTAAGGAAAATTTCCATTTTATCCTTTCGCAAACATTATGGGAACGTTACTGTTCTCTGAACGTTCTAAAACAACATTTAAAAACTGTTAGGCAAATGTCCAATTAAAACGTTTCAGAAAAACAACATCCCATGAATGATTTATGAATGTTTTTGTACTAATGTTTTGAGAACATTACTAAAGACCAGACAACTTTAAACAAACATTCTATTAATGTTACTGGAAGAACTTTGTTCATAACTTCTGTCAAATGGTTATGACCCAATTCATACTGTGAAAAAATTACATTACATTATATTCTAAATATTCGCAAACTAATTGAAAAATATTTAGTTTCTATTACTATATTTTTTCTACTATAGTTGAATGTTCTATAATGTACTGTAAGAAGTATTGATTATTTATTTGAATCCAATTTTATTATTTGTCTATTAACTATTGCAATTATAAAACTATTTTATATATATATGCAATATTTTAAAAAAATTTTTACTTTAACTATTTTTTGTAAAATAAATACTTTTATAGTCACAAATCTAGTCTAATGACTAAAAATTACTAAACGCAATGTTGCCTAATTTTATACAAGCAGTAAAATCATTGCAAATATGTCATAAATATTCAATATATCACACAATAAACATGGTATAATTCCTTAATTTAAAGTCTAAAGTTATTCTTAGGTGATCCTTACGTCACACTGGCTGATTACCGGTTTCTAAAAACTCCACTCTTTGACATAATCTGACTGTAGACTTTAACTGGACACACAACACTCACCAGGAAGATCTCGATGGTACCGAGGATGTACATGGCCCCGGCGAACGTGGTGCCCAGATAGAAGCACAGTCCCACAGCACCTCCAAACTCAGGGCCCAGAGACCGAGAGATCATGTAGTAGGAGCCTCCAGCTGGGAAAAACATCATCAAACATCATTAACTGTGACACAGGACGACAAGCCCTTGAGGGTTAAAAGGAAGAATGACATGCATTCAGCAGTGCACTTTTACCGGAAACCATTGATACAGTTACAAAAAACACCATAATCAACCATGCAGCTTGGGAGTTTAACATGGTTTTCTGAAGACCAGGATGTCATTTGAGATGTCAAGTTGAGAATAATAAATGTAATACCTGGAACAACACCGTTTGTAGCAATGGCACTCATTGATATGGCTGTCAACATTGTCTGAAAAAACAAAGGGTCCACAATACAATTATTAGTTCAGATGTATAAAGTAAATATGCTCTATGAAACTCAATCAATAAAGATAACACTGTACAGTACAGTAATGACGTTCTCCTTTTCTTTTCCCAGGAACATTTAGTCCTGTTAAAGGTCATCTGCATCTGGGCGTTATGCAATACGGCCGAACTGTTGGAGTGTCCTTGAGCTGAACGTCCACACTAAATCCCTGTGTCTCTGAAAAGCTACTGGACTAAAGCCAATTAACGTCCATGAACCTCCAGCGGGCTTAGCGTTTGAAATAAAGCGGTTTGAAGGAAGAAGATTGAGTGATCTTTACTAGCCAAATACAGACACAAAGAGCTGCCATTTTTATCAACACACACTTTAATGCTGTTTCTGATTACACTCAGATTCATATTCAGTATGCATTTCAATATATTCAGTTAATATTCTGATTGTTTAAGATATGAGGGAATGGTTGTTATGATTTAAATATAAACTGTAAAACAAACATATATTGTTTTTTTAATATATGGTGCATAGTTTTTTTGTTTTGTGAAATTTTTTTGAAATGTGCAAACTAAAAATTGCCAAGAAAAATCTGGCCACATTCATGTAATAACTTGCTCCACTTCTATAATAAATAACTTTCTGGCTTTTTCAACATTTGTCATAAAGAAAAACTTTTCACCATCCATCCAATCAATTCCTGAGTGATGCTCTCAAGTCCAGTCTTGCACTTTTCATCCCGGTTTCACTCGTAAATTTAGGAAGACATTAAGAAAAACGGTTTGTTGCACTGGTTTGATATTGATTTAACTTTCCTAAGTGAGGAAGTAAATGTGTGATTCAATCACACATGGAAACGCCCCTCTATCGGCCATTTGTTTCTAATAAGCATAATTTAAAGTGGCAGCGCTGAGATCTTGATGGTTCCTGTAAGAACGCTATGATGAAAGAGCGAAACGTTTAAAACCTGACTGTGACACAATCACCGGAAACGTATAATGACACTAGTAAGTAAAGGTTGAGGTGAATTAGACACTTGATCCCATTGTCTGATGTGGTTTATAAATAAGCGTCTGTGTTAAAGACTTCTGAGCACAGGATATTACACACGTGTGAGTTCAGACGAAAGAGGAAGGAGCTAAACTTAACCTGCAGGATCAACGGACTGAACTGACTAATATGTGACTCCAGTGTTTATATGGACCCCGCTTGAAAAACAACTGGTTTTCTTATGACTTTTTAAATATTATGATTGCACAGCCTTCTAAGAAAGCATCCTGACTCAAATGAACCTCATAAGTGTCTTATCTGGAACACGCTTTCTAAGGAGTAAAAATCAGATACCTTATAAGATAATAATTCAGTTTAATGCTAATTTAATGTTTCCTCAGTCACTGTCTACAGTTCAAACGGTCGGACTTACACACGAGCAGCACATGGACACAATGATAAAGGACTCCAAGATTCCCGCCGTTCCCACGATCCATGTCATTCGCAGGAAGAGAATCACTCCCAGGATATTCTGCAGGCAGGGCAGGTAGACGCCGATGAACGTGCCCATCTGTGGACTCTGGACAGAAAGACAACACCAAAAAGACAGCATGAGAAAATGGACAATAAATGATTGTGCATGCATGCAATAATTCAGCAAAAAAATATTGTAGGGACGTACAGTTAGAAATATAAAAACACAGAAACTAAATGAAAATGAGAACTGTTGTATTGGCAACTAGCTGAAATAAAGGAAGTATTTTTTATTTTATTTTAGTTCGTTTATTTCAAGTAATGAGAATGTATTTGTTATAATTTTAGTTTTAATGAATTAGTTAACAATAATAAACCTGTATACTGATGCTTTTTAGACGCAGAAATCAAAATACTGATCTGAAGAACCTTTAATAAAACTATATTTTTAATCTCCAAATGACCATATAGGAACTCAAGAACCCTATTCAGCAAAAAATGGTTCTTGATAAAAAGATATTTCTCTGCTGAACCTAAAGTGCTTCAAGAACCTGTTTGACCAAAAGAGGAATTTGTATTGTTCACATTTTGCATCGCATTTAATTCTGTGAGAAACTAAAACGAGAGAAACATCACACGCAATATGCAATGCAAACCAGATTATCCATAAGTGCTGAGGATGTTAATGTACATTTAATGTTTCAATGGAAGCTTTTAGCCATAAAAGAGACATAATCCATGTTAAATGACCCAATACTGAGATTCACACTCCAGTGGCTGAGATTCAGTGTTTCCTTCCAAACCAAGCTTATGATGTGCTTCAATCTTGATACAAAAGAAATCATAACCAGCTTTTGCCCGATCAAATGCATATAGTAATAAATGCATACCGCAGTGATGAACGCTCTCGACACTGTTCCCGCTGGAATCGTCTGAGTCAATTACACGACATGGATGAACTTTAGTTATTAAATATAGAAGCAAATAAAAACCCAAGAGGTTCCTAGATGTTTCCTCCAAAATTTCACTTCTTCACAAGAAGACTTGAGCAGTTTCCCGCAGTCCGAGCATCTGAAGCCCCGTCGTCTCAGGACTAATAAGAGCACGTCGCCTTCGCCCCGTTTCACCAATCACAGATGCCCAGAGACGAGGAGACTGGCTGGGGACTGTGGGTTTGTGGGTATTGCCTGGCCATGGCTTAAACATTTTTACTTACTCGCAGAAATAACCACGAGATCTCAATATGTTGATCCCCTCTGGGCTTGAAATGGAAAACAAAGAAAACAGTTGCATTTGTGCATGTGTTAATACATTTATGAATAAGACTAACCATAGATGTCATCATATTTTTTTCAAGTGAATAAAGATGAGGCCGAGAGAGAAAGAAAACAGAATGTTCTGCACTGTCAGGGCAATTCAACCCAAGTTTTCTGGAGTTAAATAAAATATGGCGTCTATTCTTTACCTTTACTGACTGTTCATAAAAATGAAGGATTTCAAAAGGGGGTTTTCACTGAAAAACAGTATAGGATTTACTTTAATAAAACTAGTTTCGCTAGTAAATTTCCCAAATGGTTACATGGGATAACATCGTAAATAATTACAAGGAATGACAAGTAACAAAACATGAAAGTTTAAACTAGAAAGACTGAAATAGCATTTCTTGTAAAAAAAGTACTCGAATAATTATTAAATAATCAAAAAATATTTTTTTACAGTGTGGAAGAACCATTTTTGGTTCCCCAAAGAACCCTTCAGTGAACATTTCTTAAAAGAACCTGTTTTTTTCCTTGTGTGAAGAACATTTTAAAAAAATGGAAAGAACCTTTTTCCACTATAAAGAACCTTTTGTGCAATAGGAAGATTCTGTGGATGTTAAAGGTTCTTCACGGAACCATCGATGCCAATAAAGAACCTTTATACTCTTTATAAGAGCGTGAAACAAAGGAACTATGAGAACTTCAGGTCATTTCCGACTTGCTTCTGTAATCAGACATTCCAAACAATCTGACCTGTATTCATTTCCTGTCGTGTTTTCAACAAAGGCTGAAAGAATGTAGAGAATGTGTGTCTGATTTGCTTTAGATTACAGGACACAGACACAAACTTCACAAATCCTGAAAGCTTTGCTGCTTTCATTCATGTCTACAGATAAAATGAATTTATCTAATGGGAAATGGTCCAAATACTTGTCGTTATGATGTTTTAGGTATTTGATCAAGTATGTTACCTTGACTGTTTTCTTCTTGGCCCCTTCGTCCTCGTCGGCCTCCTCGTGCTCTCTGACGCCCTGCGTGAGGTTGGTGTAGTTGGCCAGTTTACTGAGCAGCGAAGACACCATGGGATTGCTGTCCATCTCCTCCTGAAAGTGTAAAGGTCACGTGTTTGATGGAAAACCGCTGTACTCCAAAACCGGCAAACACAAACGACTCGTTTCAAACCTCCACAATGTCTCGGACGGTAAAAATAAACGCAGTGACCAAAATCAAAGGACGTAATAACAGCTTTGTCAGTCCGAAATCATAAAATTATACAAAAATAAACATCATGACCCATGAATTACTTTATTTGTGATCATAAACATGAAACGAGAATGTGGAAAACAGGCTTGATGTCAAATATAGGCTTGAGAATAAACACAAAGTTTGTTCTGACTGAAAAGAATAATGTAAATAATCAAGAACATATCTGGGTCAAAATCAAAATAAGGGTATGCCAGATTTTTGGCTATTAATATTTTTGGAATTATTATATTATTTACATTATTTACTCAAGTAAGGCACACAAAAAATTGTAGTAAATCGTAGTAAAATTGTAGTATTTATTGTAATATTAAAATATTATTGAATTAGTAATTAGGATTGTAGTTAGAAGTATTTCAGTACTTTAAACATTAGAGAAACTAATCAGAATCAGCATTAAGAATAATGAAAATTTAAAAGCACAAAAGTAAAATGTCTAGTTTGATTACTGATGAAAATGTGAGGATAAATGTGCAAAATTGTGCCACATGAAAAATAAAAATAAAAAATAAAAATCACGGCCCTGAAATAATTATTAATCTTTTTTTTTTGTACTGTAAATCAAAGAACATGCAGCAATGTTCAATCATATTGAAATGTGAACATTTAAAAACTTCACCACTGAAGTTTAAAGACAGTACCTCAAAAAGTGCCATGTTTTTCCCATCATATAGAGTTCCCTTATAATCATCTGTGTTATGGATGAACGGGCTGCTTTCCCTTGGGTTTCCATCACCTGTATTAGAAAGATAGAGCAACAGAACAGAGAGAAAGACATGATTACTAATACTCTGTTTGCTTCCAGAACTGAGAGGTGTTTATGGTCTGCTATCTTTGGGGTAGATTAGGAAAAACTAGACTTGACTTCCTATCCACTGCTGTGGGTCAGACATAACGATTCTCCTATAATTAGAGCATGATGGCGATCGATGTCCTCCCGTGTGGCTCTACGGTTCACCAGTCAAACTGATGTTCAGAGCCGAGCGTGACATATGGCGTCCCGTCATGAAGCGCTTAGAAAACCTGAAACGGATCGCTTAAAACATGAAATTACTTGGAGGTGGACGTCGCTCACCACTGATCCGCCTGGGTTTGTGGTTATATATAGATGTTAAATTGCAGTGATTTGAAATAAACATCTGGACTGGGCTGGATTTATTTTCAGATTACATCGCTTTACTCGCATCCTCAGACCTATCATTTCAGCGCAGATTTAGAGAGACACTGTTCCAAGAGTCTCTTAGCTTAAACTAAACAATTTACACTCTGAAATCTCTAGTACATTTTACAAATAATTACAAAGGCGAGCAACAAATTGAATTATACATGACAGATTAATGAAGAAAAGGTTCCGTCAGGTGCTTAATATATATAGAGCCTATTAGACTTTCCCATCACTGGATATTTTTATGGATTTTTCTATTTTAATCAAATTTATTAATTAAACAGCTTATAAACATACTTAATCACAAAGAAAAAATGTAAACAACCCGTTAACATGAAAGTAATAGCCTATGCAATCATTTAAGGCATTCCACCTTAAATAGAACCTTTTTGGCCTAAAGAGTTCTTTAAAACTGAGTCGAGAACTGTAGGGTTCTATATAGAACCTTTACTTCTAAGAGTGAAGTAGTATTTTCTTGGTTTTCCTCTTGTTTACAACTTCAAAAAATAAGTATTTTTTTAAATGTACAGCGCAGTGGTACATGATACTAAGTTAAATGTTTGAACTGTTTAACTTTGTAAACAACAAAGTCCAAGAGTATGTTTAATGGTAAACTTAAACTTAAAAAACAAGCTTGTGGAAGCCTGCCAGAATGTGACCAGCTTGACGATCCATCAAAAGCTGTTTATGATTATGCAATAAAACCACAAGATGCTCTAATATGGATGTGGACTTGCTTGAAACAATAGTGCATTTGCAAACTGGTCTGAAACTAGTCCAGATTGTTTGGAACGCACATTTATGGTATAATATTTGTGTCTGAAGTACTCAAATTCTCACACTGAATACACCTGAATACATGGATGCTTTAATTCAAAGCATCTTTAAGTGCATTCAAACTTCACATTTGACAGTTCTACAGAACAAAACATCCTGGCTAAGAGCCTGGTCTCGTGTGGCCAGAGCTTCAGACTGACGGCAGAAGGTCTCGACTCTATCACAGCTTTCATTGGCCAAGGGCCGGCCAAGAGGACGTGGTTTGACTGACATGTAACGCAACCAATCACAGTCCGCTTTGTTTCTCGTCATGTGTGAAAATGTAAAGTCAATGTCCCTGCAATAACAGACCGGTGTGCATCTAATAAATGATTCATTCAAGAACGTTTTGCAAGTTTTCTGCAACAATGGAGCCGCGAACTTCACATACTTTTGAATATCCACATTTAGTTGATCCTGGTGAGCTCTCAGCGTCACAGTTGTAAGGAGGGGTTTGTTACCCACGAGGGGGTTTGTTTCCAGGCGGACCGTTAAAGAACGCGACACACACGTCTCCCAGACATCCTTCAACCAATCAGATGACGACTTCAAAACTCATGAAGTGTTTCCAGTTAAGTGTGTCTTATGCATCTGACGTTCAGCCAACGGTCCGTGGGCATGATCACGTCTGAGGTTAAGGTGTTTAACTGGTAACTAGCCTATGTATCAAAGCAACTGCAACTGTTTAAAAGATACAAGCCCTAAGACAACAAATCAACAGCAGCAAATACTCATGAGACACCTGATATCTCATATACCACACAATTCATCAGAAACCAGGATGTTTCAAGAGCATTTCAGACCATATGTACATTTAGATTCAAAGTTTTTTTTTTTTTTTTTACTGTTTTAGGTAACACTATTTCAATGGTCCACTTTAGACATTCTACTAACTAACTTTGCAACTACATGTCAACTAACTCTCATTAGTAGAGTTATTAGTAGAGTGTCTGTTTAATATCTGCTAACACTTTATTTTAACGCTCCTCAACAGATTTCAACTGACTATATCTTTACAACTACATGTCAACTTATTCTACTATCCTGAACACTAATACGTAACCCAGACCTAACAGTCTACTAATACTCTAATGACTGCTAGTTGACATGTAGTTGCAAAGTTACTTATAGTTAGTAAAATGTCTTGAAATGAAGTGTAAACCATTTTCATATGAGAAACGTTGAGCAACTCTTTTTGTGTTCAGAACTGCAGCTGCTGTTATCGTTAATAAGTCAATGACAATTGCAGTTTGCAACCTATATTTTACTACCATAATCTGATACATTTCAGAACGACACCAGAGATTTAACAATAAAAAGTTGGACAGAACTTAGATTTTAAGTCTATGCATTAAAAGGTAAACTACATTTTGATTTTATGATTACTTTCTAAATATTAGCTAATAGGTTTTGGTAAAAACTTTATTTTGGGCCTTTACCACTTTTATTGACGAGACATTCGTGTATATTGTGGAGATTTATGGAGAATGTAATCAGGACAACAAAAGTTAGACTTGACCTTCAACCACATGAGCAAAACATTCAACGTTTTGGCATTAAATGAGCATTTCATTCTACTGTTCATGTTCACATTGGCATCATTGACTGCAGACACTTGATACAGTATGACAAATCTCACGAGACGTGATCCACTTTCATCAGAATGACCTAGATTACAGATATGCTTATATCACTGCAGACGTCACAGTCCTTCATTCAACTGTTGAAAAGCGGCACAGAGTCCCTTCATCCAGTGATGGAAACACACGGGGAATGAAGGAGTGGGCAAAATGGAAACCAGGAAGAAAACAATTAATAAAGCTTAAACCCGGGCAGAACTACGCAGCGATGATGGTTCCAGCCAAAATTACCAACAAGATCATCAAGTTCATCCAATCAGCAGCGCCACACTGCATGTCCTTGGCTTAAGACGATTCCCTTTCCAGGCATGACAGTGGCGGCGCTCGAAACGACTGTTTGCAAACACTCTAATTGTAGACATGGAAATCAAAGATCAAATATAGCAATAATCTCTAAACCTTCGTAACGCCTGAGACTAAACTGGATGCTGGTGATCACAACAATGATGATTGATCCTAATAAAAGTGACCTTTCTTTTTTAAATGACAACATTGTGTTTGAGGAATCATGCATCTCTCTTGGTGAGGAGACTGTGCTGTTGCTTTAAGTGATCAGATACACACTTTTCACCTGCTGCACGATAAAACAGGTGGAAAAAACCCGGAGGGGACCGGGGACAAAAGCTAAGAAAAAAAACCCATTTAAAACGAGAAAAATAAACTGAGGGGACCGGAGACAAAGTTGAGGGAAAAAAAATTTCAAACCAACAATAAAATAATTTTTTTAAATAAAACAGAATGGGAAAATAATAAAACCGAATAAAACAAAATAGGATAAAATAAAATTAAAAATTAAAATGAAAAATGAATAAAATAAGATAATAATCTTATTATTATTAAAAAAATTATTTAAACAGAAAATAAGATAATATGAAATAAAATGAAATAAAAAACGAAATTAAACAAAATAAGAACAAATAGAATAAAAAAGAATAACAATAAAGTAATTATTAATAATAAAATAAAATAAAAACTGAAATAAATAAATATTAGCACAAAATAAAAGAGGATAAAATAAAATAAGATAAATATATATTTAGGCCTAAATATAACCTACTGAGATTCACAAAAAAAAAAAAAAAAAACTATACTAACAGCTCGTAATCACCTACCAATGCAGACCCTCGAGCGCTCGAGTTCACCAAACCCTCGACCCCTTGAACAACCGCTCGTGAGATGACACAGCAGAGAGAGTTTTTTTTTTATTATTGTATTTAACAAAAGAACAGACAACCGCTCCACCTGAACATCACCCCATCTTTATGAACCAGTGGATCTGACGTCCACTGCAGAGAGATGATCCACCGGTGCTCAATATAGCAAACCTTATATAAAACTGACTTCTATTTGCTTTCCAGACACATAAAAGTTGGAGTTTGCAAGAAGAACTAAAAACTTTCTTTTCAACCTTTTACAAAAGTTGTTGCAAGAAAGGTTGAAATGAACACGTCAGGTAGGACATTAACAGGTACTGTGCATCGCAGTCTCTATGGTAATAAATGGCCACATACTCTATTTATAACAGCTAAGCTCTCTCTTGTTCTGAGCTCTAAGCGGCCTACGGTAGCTATGTTTTACACCGGCTGACGGTGCAAGAGACGGAGGCAGAAAGAGTCACACAATCCCTTTATCCAACACGGATGTCAAGCAATTAGAAGGCCCAAAGTCTGGCAAAGTAAATAAGCCCATGTAAAACACCAAAATATCTCTGATTATGAAGTTTATGAACCACAATTACACGTCGATTAAAGTAAGAATTGACACTAGATTAATGCAACTAGTCACAAATGTAACTTGAAGTTGGTTTAGAAAAAGTTATAGTTTGGTTGACAACATTAAAACAGCAAAATATCTCATTCTAGATGATCGACAAGTTCCAAAACAGCAATTTCATTTCCATTTCCATTGTAAATTAAGACTAGTTCAATGAAACTAGTCACAAATGTTACCGTCAGTTTAGAAAAGGTTATATTCTCGTTGACAACATTAAAAAGTACAAATATCATGTTCTAGCGGACTGTGAAGCTCCAGCACAGCAATTGTAATGTACTACTGTAAGACTAACTCAATGCATCTAGTCACAAACGTCAATTAATATCAGTTTAGAAAAGATTA